ATACAACATCGCATCGAGACCTTCGCAAGATATTAGGAAGAAAAGACCCATGAAGTCTGTTCCACGGACCAGGTCGATGCGGTGCTCGAGAATGTACCCTCCGCAGTGCACAAGATTGGAGCCTGCTTGTGTCAGAACATGCAACATGCATGTGCTGTGCTCGCACACACGCGTTGCTTTTTTCTTTTTCTTTTTTTTTCTATCGGGTTTTCTTTACTTCAACTAAGAAACGGTAGTGTCGCTGTCCAAGGTCCAAGGTCACTGCACATTGTGTGCCTTGTGCAGCTGTCCGTCTCTTGTCCCTTCCACATTCTGTTCCTTCTGTATTGTTCCTTCCGTGATAAGGAGCGCATCACGGCCGGCGGCAAGAGCTTCCCACGGCCGTGAATATGAATACCCGTCCGATAAAACCCGGGCATCGTTCGTTGTCGTTTTTAATTCATTTTATTTGTTTGACGGAGTATGAATGGCCCCAAGTTCAGACCTCCCGCGCATCAAACAAACCCTGGCGGCCCATTCCCTCCGTTGCTAGGATCCCACGTCCAACCGCGAGGCTGTCCCACGTGGCACGCGAAGCCCGTCCTCCCGAAGCGAGGCCCGCCTGAACGAAGTGAATGAGGACCGAACAAGGGAGGAGATCTTGTAATGCAAGGTTTGTTTCGGACAAGAAGCAAAGGGGAACCGCAGAAAAGATACCGGGCGTACTACGAAGTATGTCCTTATCCAACGGACAAAACTACTAGCGTTATTCGTTTTTTTTTCTCTAAAAAAGGGAAAAATAAAAGAAAAAAGAAGAAATAAAAGAAGAAGAGCCTTGATCTAAGGGACTTTGCGACATTGAGGAAAGATCCAAGCACAAGGACGAAGAACACAAACGTTGTCCATGGCGTGATTTCTGCCAGCTCGTCAGGCGACTCAGGTTGCTATTGCATCTCATTGCATCTCCATCTGCGAAATGGCAAGGGGCCAATTCAATTCGAAAAGACAGAATCGATTGTAGATCAAATACCCTTTACAGATGACAATTCACAATCAGCCGGCGGCCGGTCCAGACTACGGAGCGTATAAGAGTTGGGCTTGTACTCTTTCTATTTTCTTTTGGCCATTTTTCAGCCGCAGTCGTATCGTGTCTGCCAGTATTACAGGGAGTCAGATAGCCAGGCCATGTGTCCCACTGGGCTTCTGTTGTGGGGAATGATGCTGGACCAGATGGCACCCTCCTGCCGCCTTTCAACAGCTGAAGTATCAGACGAAATGGTAAGATAGGTCGTGATCAATGATCCGAACGACGACAAAGGGCCAAAAAAAAGATACACAAGCGGAATCTGTAGCGGCCGCGTCAGCACGTCACCGTCCCCGGAGCTCTTGGCTTCTCTGCTACGTTTCATACGAAGCAATGAGGTCGACCGACAGCGCAAGTCTCGCCCACGTCCAGATTCCAGCGGTCCTTGGTGGCCCTGAACATCTTACAGTGGACTGGACCAGGCTGGCCAGGCCTTTTCCTGGCTGCCCCGCTGCCCCATCACTGCGCGCAAACGGTGTCTCGTGTACGTCGATACTTCGCTTTACCAATGATGCGCCGTCATTGCTGAGTTTTCATTGCCCAGGCTGCAATACGCCTACAGAATGACATATGCTGTGATGCCATGCTGTTCGGAGCTTGGCCATGGTGTCGTTTGCTGCCGTTTGCCTCCCAGTGGAAAAACGACCTCACCAACGACACTCCTGAGATGCAACCACCGAAAGTTGGTCCAGATGCCATATACATAAGAAACTAAAAGGAAGAAAAAAGGGTTGCAGACTGGGAGAGAAGCAAGTCACACAAGCGATGACATTGAGACACCGTTGGGCTGCTGGTATATTGTGGGATGTTGCTGTTTGTGTCTCCGTTGGACTGGGTGTAAGCCGAACCCAACTGTCGTGGCACAAACAAAGCCCCATCTGCAGTACAGCCACACACATGTACAGAAAGGCCTCTTTGCATTGCCTTTTATGTGCCAACTTGGCTGGGAGAAAACAAGAATCTCCGCTCCGATGCGTTTGTTTGGGCTGCCGTTGCTCGCCCTGCCACTCGCCTCTGGACATATGCATTGTCATTTGGTAAGCAAGAGTACGACGGGTATGGTGAGCATCCAGAATACGAACGCCTCGGATGGGAGCAGGGGCAGGGCGAGCTGAGGCGGTCGGCGCCCTCGGGCCCTGTTGTGGATAGCATCGTATGCGGTGAGAAGCAGGCGCTGCATTTGTTTGTCTGTTACGCACCGGCCCGTCACTCACGCGCCTCGTTTCTATTTCGGTTCCTTCAGCAGCCTCCTACGTCACCGCTCGTGTAGAAATGCAAAGAAAGACAAGCGAGGCAAGTGAGGCAAGCGAGGGAAGCAAGGCAAACAGGGATTGTTACTTTTTTCTTGCAAGCCTGCCCCTCCTCCCCTTCTCCGAGATATAACTGGCTGAGCAGCGACGGAATCCAGAACGTCAGCAGCCAACGAATTGCTAGAGATCCGTACAAGTTGTAGCATTGGTCGGAATTCACAGAGACGCAGCTGCCGTGTACAAAGAGAGCTGCATGGCCACGCCCAATCAGCAAAGCTGCATATCACTAGTAAACAGTAGACAGTGTTCTCGGCCGTCTACAGACCAGTGCATCTGTGCAGGGTACACAGACACCAAACAGACCCCAGTGCGTCACTTGCATCACATCGCCTGTGCGCGCTTCGCTTGTGTGTTGGGCTTGACTAGGCTGCTGTGCTTTTTGGGTTGCAGTCGCCTACACATGCAAAACAGCAACCGGTCGCGACAAGGCCATGCAGTGGCCCTCCTCTGTACATCAATCCCGAGACCAGACTGGCGCATGTTATAGGAACGAGTGCTCAGCGTGCGCCCACGCCGTGCATTTTGTTTGCGTTTATGCAATGGGGTTTGAGACGCAGTTCGTCCTTTTCTTTCCATCTGCCTCGATTGACAGAGAGGTGGTGGTAATGATCGGAACCGGAGGAGGCATGGGCCTGGTGTCTTGGCGTTTTATATTCGCCTTTTCTTTTACGACCCCGAGAGACGTGCACAAAGCAGAAATAAAAAGACACCACAAAAAGAATACCCCTGTCATAAGGCTCTCGATTTCGACAAGGCTCGTTTGACGCAAAATCAGCCAAAAGTGCAGAAAAGAGTGACGGCAAGTAGCGGCACAATGTGCAGTTTCTGTTGTCGTTTATTTACCTTTTTTCATGGTCCATCCCAACTTTCGCATTTTATTGGACGATGCGTCTTTGAATTTTACCACACATTTTGCCCGACGGGTTCGAGAAGGGTACATGCGAATGATCTGCACGGCAGGCTGTTTTGTACCTGATCCGAGGCGATCAGGTACAAAAGCAAGGGGAAACGGACAGGCAAAATAAAGCCCAAAACGATGCTTCGAGGAGAAGAACTACAAGTAAAAAAACAGTAGGGGACGAGACACATAGCAGAGGGATCACGTTGATTCTTCTGGTCCCTCTTTATGCATGGCTGCTGCTTCTGCTCCCTGTTTTGCCCCTGCTCGTGCAGCTGTTACCGTTTGATTAAAATGTTGTGCCAAAGATCCTAAGCTTTCCATGTTTTTCCGTGTCTGCATAACAAACAATCCGAATTTTGCAGCTGAACGTGCAACGGCAGCTGTAGCTGTCACTTTCCGAAACCCCCGTTAGTAGCATGACGATCGCCTCTTTGCCGATGCCGGGCTTGTTCGTGACATGAAAAATGACTGTCGTGTAGCCATTCCGTCCTCTCCATCAACGTCCGTAGCCTGTTGAGGTCCTTTGAGAAGGCACACGATTTGGACAAGTTGTAGGCGTCGATAGCTCGTCAATTTCTGTAAGAAACTTTGACTGGCGGGAGCACATATGGTGGTTGTGTCTTGCAAGACATGGATTTTGTTGTATTTCTTGCATATCATGCATATCATGCATACCGTCATGTACTCTAAGGATGCGCGTATATTGCTGGGTTCGTCCGAGGCATTCTACAATCAGCTTTGAAGCTACGAGGAAGTGAACCCAGCGGGTTCAGCAATAGGATGACCTGGGGTAGGAAGGCGTCTCGTCATTTTACGCAACAGTGCGACAGAGCCTGGTCCCCCTCCGAACCCGATATCATAATACCTTAGAAGTACTCCGACGTCGTACGGCATAGTGTTTGTTCATGTGCCTTGCCTTGCCTGCCTCGCCTGTTCGCCCTGCATGGAGGATGTCTCACAGCGTCGAGGCGAAATTGCACGTCCCCCATTTTCGTCACGGCAAGGCCATTGTGCCTCTCGTTTTTCGCGTCCTCGTGCCCGGTGTCTTCCGTTATGCGATGGGTCAGGACTCGCACATATCGAACCGCATTGTATGCCATCGCGACAACCTGCTGCCTTGGGGAAAACCAGATCACCTATTCCGTCCGGAAGAGCCTCGTCACTTTGTTCCCTACCTCGGCCGCATACACGTGCAAATGACAGGGCGTTCTTTGTCCAATATTGTTTCAATTTCCCCTTGCATTTTGTATTCCACATTTTCGGGAAAGGTCCTTCCTTTAAAAAGAAGTAGGAACAACCTCGTTCTCCTTTTCCATCAAGCTATCCCTTGCAACACGCTCTCGGCAACAAAAAGGCTGTCGCATGGTTCGTGAATGTTGCTCGTCGTAGTATAGTGTATGTTCTTTTATTTGGTCCATATCTGGTCCATCGTGGCTAATATAAAGCAACCTTTCTCCCAACGTCCTGGGCCAAATATGCTGTGGAGAACTCTCAAAAAACAAAACAGTCCGTCATGCGCCGTATTATTTCCCAATGAAAAAAGAGAATATATAAAAATAAAAATAAAAGACAAGCCCAAAGAGCCGCTCGTTACAATGAATTTTGGTATAAAATGGTAAGGTCAAAGCCTCGTATCCGTCTTGGATTGTTGGGGCGTTGGGCCGTTGGGTCATTTGGTCGTTTGGTCGTTGGGTTGTTCGGTCGTTCGGTTATCAGGGCGAGTGTTTTAATTGCCGACGAAAACGGAGACCTGCCATTGGGAATATCGTTAGCAGCAGGTCACTGTGGGAAGCGAACTACAGGAAGTGAGAGGGTTGGCCACGAACCGCCATGAGGACGCAACACAAGCTGATGTACGGGCTCAGTCTCTCGCCTATCCGTGCACACTTCCAGAAGATACCCATCAGGCTGTTCAAAAAAGGTCTGTTAGCGCTTTTACTCGAATGCGAATGGCGACGCCGTCCGCCGGGCTAGAAAGGACATACCCATGCTTGCGGCTGTCGAGCAGTCTCGGAAAGATCTGGTGCACGTAGGCGCTGGTGCAGATGAGAAGGAGGATGACCAGAAGCAGCGACTGGAAGTTGAAGAGGGCCGACTGGAGGACAGGAGAAAGGGGGTTAGCAAGGCTCCTAAAAGTCAGCGTCGGGGAGGACGGGGGGATGCATCGCTCACCATTGTGACGGGTGGATCAATGGCCAGTACAGAAAAAGAGGACGGGATCAGTGACGGTGCGAGGTGGTGGGAGTGTGTCGGGCTGTTCGTTGGCAACACGTTGGTCTTTGGCGATTTGGCGATTTGGAGATTTGGCGATGCTGGATTTTGGATGCTGGCCAGAGTTGAGCACTACGTATGTCCCAAGCGGCCGTCTGGACTGGGAAGGAACGCGATTGGCTGGAAGGCGCTAGGCTGTGGCGCGTGAGAGCTCCTTCCCTCGCAGCCTGGTCCACAACTAGCGTACTTTCCAACGTTAGCAAGCGGCTGCGCTTTTGAGACTCAACCATCATTTTGTCTTTGTCTCTGGTTTGGAGCAAATCTCCATCACCTCCAGCCGCGCATACCAACAACGACTAACGAGTTTACCTTGGGCACCTGCAACAAAACCACCGTCTTTCTATCCCTCCACCCATGACCGCAGCGCAGCCGCCACGGCCACGCCCACCACCCACTTCCCATCATGGAGCCGAGAGCGCGTGCCGGCAAGAATGTCGGCAAGATGAACTTTGGCTACGGCGAGCGTGAGTGGAAGGCTTGTCTGCTGCAGTTGCGTACGTGACGAAACTAACCGTGCCTTTCGATTGCCAGTTCGCCAGCTCCTGTACGGCGGAGGCGACGCCCGCGATCCCCTCCCCGAGACGATGCGCGTGCTCGACGAAATCGCCACCGACTTCATCCAGAGCCTCTCCTTTGAGGCCGCCCGCATCGGCCAGTACTCGGGCCGCCAGAAGATCAAATATGAAGACTTTGAGTTTGCCCTGCGGCGCAACCCGCTCTTCCTCGGCAAAGTGCGCGAAATGTTCGAAATGAGCAAGGAAGTTAAGGACGCGCGTAAGATGCCGGGCATCGGCGAGGGCAACATGGGCAAGGCCGACATCAATGACCTGGCAAAGCTCGGCGAGGGCGATGAGGGTGGGGAGGGGACCAACAAGAACGGCGAGGGCCCGAGTGCCGGCGGAGCCGCCGCGAGTGCTACGCCGACCAGCGGAACCGGCCGTGGTAAGAAGCGCGGACCCTACGCGAAGACGGCTGGCAAACGGAAGAAGGCCAAGATGGAGCAGGAGGCGGCTGAAGCGGCGGCGGCCGAAGCAGCAGCAGCCGCCGCCGCCACCGCCAAAGATGGCGACGGTGGCGTCGTCAACGTCAAGGAAGAACCGGCGGACGATACGACACAAGGAGCAAGAGGCGTCACGGCCGACACAGCGGATGGCGCCGCAGACGAAGAGCCAGATGCAGAAGAGCCATCAAATCTCGATGCGCTCTTTGGTGGCGGCGACGACGCGGATGCCGACGGGGACGACGACCTGGGATTCTGATGCGGATTCTAGGGTTACCTGTTTCTGTTTGTGGACCTTTGCCAAGAGTTTACCCTGCCCTCCCATTTGGCTACGCCGTATGCTCCGTGAGGGAAGGTGCAAATCTGCGCCGGTGCGCGCCATCTGCAATTCGTCTCTTTACGGCGGCACTCATTTCTCGTCGTTTCTCCTTCCACCCTGGCTTCACTCTCAGACCGTCTCTTTTTGCTTCACGTCCTTCCTGTCCTTTTTATACTCATATTTCTATACATCATCTCGGTGGTGCACACCATGATAGCACGGCGTTGGGTTATTTTGGGGCCATAGCATGTTGGGAAGGCGTTTTTTATTGTTTATAAGCGTTTCAACAAATCATATGACGTTTGGGGTTCCAGTTGGTGTCAGCTTTGGAATGCAAAATATTTCCAATTATTTCTCAAGTCGTAAGAGACGCGAACGTAACAAGACAAGCCATGAAACATTGAAAAAAGGGAGAAAACAATTTGATGCCTTGCGACGTCCCTGTCGTCGCCCCTTCAGAAGCAACGATGACTAAGCGTGGCTTCTGCACGGCGCTACAATCCACCAGGTCGCCTTTCCTTTAGGGGGGGGGTTTACAGGGAGCACAACGAGGTCAGCGGCCCGTGTTAGCTCCAGCGCAGCTGCAGTGGCCACGGGGCGTGTTTGGTCCGCACCTTCCTGTCACAAGCTCACCCAATTTCAAGGAGATTGGCCAGAACGGTAGGCACGACCGACAAAAGACAGCTTTCGCCTGACCCACCGTCACCACATCGCAGCGCAACCCACTCTCTCCTTTTCCTGCTGTCCTGCTCGCGAGCATTTTCCACGCTGTGCACTCTTGGCCATCTCGCATCACTCCTGCGTGCCTCCGTTGTCCCTCTACGCGCACAACGAGCTCGCGCGATTTCTAGCTTCGGCAGCCCTATCATGGAAGCAGCTGCCTCGTGATCTCCAACCGGTCTCCAACTCCACCTCGTCCGTCTCCAAACTTCGAAAGAAAACAGACCGAAAGGAAACAAACAAAAACACTCGAGCTGCATCGAACCGAAACGCGGCCTGGCTCGCGTCATCGACTGACCTCGACTGACCTCGACGTTGTCTTTCGACCTCTTCCTTTCTCTCCCTTTTTCTCTTTTTGTCGCCATCAAACCCCCTTTTCTCGCAATGGCCATGAACAACCACTTTGTCGCTGTCGGCGAGGAGCCGAAGCCCGAGGACTTTGGCCATGGCATCCAGGTCATTGACGAGGACAAGGCCTTTTCGTGCGTCTCCTCGGTCCTTCGCGTCGCCTGAGCTTGTGCTTGTGCTTGCTGCGCGGCCCTTCTGCTAACACGTCTCCATCGCATAGGACACACGTCAATGACTACCTCCGCAAGACGCACGTGGCCGAGGCCGGCTTCAACTACCACCTCATCTCCGTCTTTGGCTCCCAGTCCACCGGCAAGTCGACGCTGCTGAACCACCTCTTCGGCACCGAGTTCAGCGTCATGTCCGAGTCCGAGCGCCGCCAGACCACAAAGGGCATCTGGATGTCCAAGAACAAAAAGGGCGCCGGGTCCATGGCCGACAACATTCTGGTCATGGACGTGGAGGGCACCGACGGCCGCGAGCGTGGCGAGGACCAGGACTTTGAGCGCAAGAGCGCGCTCTTTGCCCTCGCTACCAGCGAGGTCCTCATTGTCAACATCTGGGAGCACCAGGTCGGCCTGTACCAGGGCGCCAACATGGGCCTGCTCAAGACCGTCTTCGAGGTCAACCTGCAGCTGTTCCTCAAGGACCGCCAGGCTACCCCGCGCTCCCTCCTCTTCTTTGTCATTCGCGACTTCATCGGCAACACCCCGCTATCCAACCTGCGCAACACCTTGGTGCAGGACCTGACCAAGATCTGGTCCTCCATCTCCAAGCCCGCCGGGCTCGAGAACGCCACCATCGACGACTACTTTGATTTCGCCTTTGCCGCCCTGCCCCACAAGATCCTGCAGCCCGACAAGTTCGTCACCGAAGTCGACACCCTCGGCCGCCGCTTCGTCGCCGGCCACCGCTCCACGACCGACCAGGAGTTTGTCGGCGGCGTCTTCTTGCCCGAGTACCACCGCCGGATACCAGCAGACGGCTTCTCCGTCTACGCCGAGGGTGTCTGGGACCAGATTGTCAATAACAAGGACCTCGACCTGCCCACCCAGCAGGAGCTGCTTGCCCAGTTCCGTTGCGACGAGATTGCGCGCGAGGCCCTCGTCGTCTTTGACGAGACCATCCTGCCCCTCGAGCAGGAGCAGGCCGACAGTGTGCGGCTGGGCCGATCCGTTGTCTTGGCCGGCCTTGGCACTGCCGGTGCCGCGTCACGTGCCGCCTGTCTCGAGCTGTTCCAGACGCAGGCCGGCCGCTACCACAAGGGCGTCTTTACGCGCAAGCTCGCGGAACTGGGCGACAAGGTGGACGGCCGTCTCAAGACGCTGTACCAGGGCCAGCTGGCTGCGTCGCACAAGGCCGGTGTTGCGTCGTTTACCGAGGCGGTGACGAGCTCCGTCAAGGCCGGCCAAAAGGCTGGCGGCAGCTACGAATTTGCCGAGATTGTCGAGACCGAAAAGGCCAAGGCGCTCAAGACCTTCAAGACGGAGGCCCAAGGTCTTGCCATCCCCGAGGTCGCCTGGACCAACTTCAAGCCGCAGTACCTGCTTTTTGAGAAGGAGCTCGACGAGGTCAGCGGCAAGCTGCGCAAGGAGGAGATGCGCCGTCTGGCCACGCGCTTGGAGCGCTGGGTCAAGTCGCGTCTCGGCGATGCGGTGGGGCTCGAGTTCAACAAGCTGGGCTCCGGTCGCGCGGGCGGCGGCGCACCCGACGTGTCGGCATCCTCCTCCGCATCCATCAGCAGTGCCAACGCGCCTCCCTCTGAAAAGGACCTGTGGGACCGCGTCTGGAAGGTGTTTGTGGACATCGTTGAGGAGGCGCAAGACCGTTTTACGGAACGCGCCAAGAGCTTCGATGCCAGCGAGGCCGAGGTCCAGATCGGCTTGTGGCGCCTGCGGCGCAAGAGTTGGGTGGCGCTGCGCGAGCGAATTGACGAAGAGGTCATGGAAGGCAACATTCTCCTCAAGCTGCGGGAGAACTTTGAGGACAAGTTCCGCTACGACGACGCTGGCGTGCCGCGCATCTGGCGGCCCAGCGACGACATTGAGGGCATCTACACGCGCGCGCGCGAGTCCACGCTCACCCTCATCCCGCTGTTGGCCCGCTTCCGCCTGGCTGCCACCATTGCGCCGCCCGACCTGCCCGGGTGGATCGGCAACCAGCCGGCCGGCGTCGAGCCCGAGGACGAGGACGACCTGACGCCCATTGGCGGCGTCGACGAAGAGGAGGGCAAGAGCCTCGAGGAGGAAATGACCGTGCTCAGCGAGAGCAAGCGCCAAGACCTCGTCATCCGCTTCAAGAAGACGGCCGACGGCGTGTACGTCGAGGCCAAGCGCGGCGCTCTGGGCGGCATCACGCAGGTGCCCCTGTACTTTTACGGCATCCTGCTCATGCTGGGCTGGAACGAGATTCTTGCCGTGCTGCGGAACCCGTTCTTGTTCCTGCTGCTGGCCATTTTTGCGGGCGGCACCTATGTCGCGTACAGCCTGTCTCTGCTCGGCCCCATGATGCAGATGGCCAACGCGGCATCGAACCAGGCCGTCGAGATTGGCAAGCAGAAGCTGCGCGACTTTATCAACAACAACGACTCCGCGCGCCAGGCTCTGGCCATGCCGGCTCGAAGCGACAGCACGAGCAGCAGCAGCGACAACATCCACATGGATACGCTCAACTCCAGTGGACGGAGGCAAAACACGACGACACGCATTGACGACGACGACATCTGATTCATTTTTGATGCACCGATTCTTTCCGAATTCTAGTATTTTTTACAACTATTCATTACAGCTACATAAAAATGAGACATACATGGGACGACACCGGTTGGGCACATGGCATGATGGAGACGAGGGACGATGCTGGACCAGAACGGCGTGGCACAGCGATTTCCATATTGCATTGTTTTAATTGGTATGAAATGACTTGGTTGTACACATAGGTATCCGTTGGTGTCTCAATAATACACACAAATTCACTCCCATTCCAAAATCGCATGTCCCCGAAGAGGAAATAAATCACATTTGGATGCACATACGAAACAATCAAACCCAGGCCAAGACCACAAGAACGCCTTACGCCCAAACCCTAGCATCGATACTAGAAGACCTCCGTCCCGACGGGTTGGCCAAACCACGATCCCAGCTCGTCCACCACATCCTCATCGTCAGCGTTCTTGGCCGCCGCTGATGCAGTAAAAAAGTCCGTCATCCGCGTCACCGCAAACTCGTTGTCGGGCGTGTCTTCGTCGGGCTCGGGCCAGTCCACCTGCACGCCGCCGTTCTTCTTGCTGTCTTCCAGCATGTCCTTGGCCGTGCTCCAGCTGAAGCGGCACTCGGGGCCCCAGCCAAACAGCGGGTGCATGTTGCGCCGCAGCCACGCCGTGCACCGGGCGTCGGACGGGTAGCCCGAGCCCCAGCTGGGCGTGGTTGCGGCACCTGCGGCGCCTGCGGCGCCTTCCGTTGTTGCCAGCGCATCAGCGTACCGTTTGTACAGCACTTCCAGCGCCACATCGCGCGTTACCTTGGCACAGACCGATGCCGCCGACACACACGGGTAGATGGAGTCGGCCTTTTTTGACACCGTGATCCGCAGGCCGGGGAAGTAGCGCTCCAGCTTTTTTTGGTACGATGCTGGCGGGCCCACGGTGTCGACATAGACGTCCGTCACCCGCACGCCGCGCGCCAGGACGCCGCGGATGAGGCCGACGGTCGACTCGGCCGCTTGTGCGTTGAGGTTGCCCGCCGCTGCCGTGGGCGACATCATGCCGGCCCCAATGTCGCGCGCCGACAGCAGCTCCACGGCCCAGCCGCAGTTGCTGTGCAGCTTGGAGCCGCTGCGGCAGACGGTGGCCATGAGTGTCGACCGGACGGCCGCCGACAAGACCTTGGAGTCGTCAAAGCGGTGCGGGGCGCCAGTCACGGCGTCTCGGTCGGCATCGGGCGCCTCGCCGCGCAGGAGAGCGTCGGCCAGGTCCACGGGGGCATAAAAGACGCCGTAGACCATGGGGCCGAGCACCGGACCACGGCCGGCCTCGTCGACGCCCAGAACACACGGGACCGCCTCTGCCAATGGGCCGCCGCTGGCGTCGCCGTCTGTGGTGTCGTTGGTCACAGACGCTGTTGGTGCCAGGAGGCAGGACGGTACTGGGGAGTAGTGGGAGTATGATGCACCCGAAAGCAGGACATGCTCGTCGATTGAAGGCGGCACAAACTCGCCCGATGTCGTCTCGAAGACGGCGTTCTCCTCAGTCATCTGAGTGTCGTCGTCCATGGTCATGGGAGAGGCGCGGGGCGGGGTGTTAGGTTCAGCCGAAAATAAGAAGCCGTTTCGTATGCCTGACAGAATGTACGTGTGTATGCGCAGTGGCGTCAATGTTGATTGTGGTATGAACTGGCAGGCTGTTTCTTCGCATTGTGATTTGGAGGTTGTTCGTCCAAAGTGATGCCCCTTTGGGCAACTGTTATCGATAAGGGCAGTTGGCGCGCAGAGGGAGACGCGTTGCGCTGGAGAATGCCCCAAAGAGCAGACGCGTTTTTAGGTACCTTCCCGCAACAGCACTCCAGCCAATCAGCCGCGCTGGCGCCTCGTACCTGCCCCAGCTGGCGCTCTGGCATAATTCGTACAAGCGGCCCTGGCTAAAGTGGTGTACAGCGCCCAACATTGGCGAGGAAAGTGCGACGAGGTGGATGTTTTCTCTCTTTCCCGCGAGACCTTGCATTGAACATAACAAGGTAGTCGCGACCGGCTCTCTCCACGGAAGGCACCACCGAGCTTCAGATTTACAATCTCGCACTCCTGGTTATTTGAATACAAATCAGACAGGACAGAGAGCGTGCTTAGACGCAATTGAACAGCTCCCACGATAACCTTCCACGCGACCCGTCACTTTGCTTTTGACGCGTATCCTGCGACGCGACACAATCGAGCATCGGCCTTCCGACCACCGGACCATCGCCACCCTTGACGATCACGACGACAAGGAGACTCTGTTTTGTCCCAAAAGCAGAGCTTCACAACAATGGCACCTCCACGGGGCGGCGGCCGTCGCTCAACGCAGACCAGCGAGCACATCTACAAGCTCGGCGAACGCGGACGGTAAGGCTGGGATGCCTGTTGCGCACGTATTGTGGAAGGAGGAGGAGGGGCGGGGGGAGGGGGGGGGAATCTGCAACATGCTATTTACGGTCGCTGACAGCATTGGGACTCAGGAAAACGGGCGTAACACTACGCGACACCGGCGTGCGCGACGAGCATGGCATGGAGCCGATTGACGATATCTTTTCGTCGCCAGCCAAGGGAAACTCAGACAATGGCGACGAGGAGGAGGAAGATGACGAGGAGGAAGGGGAGGAAGCCGACGAAGACGATGACGACGATGAGAATGGCGAGGCGCCCATGGACCTCACAACTGGTGAGGGAATTCACTGAATACCCCTCTCTCCCAAAAACGCAACCTACTGACGCTTGTCTCCTTGCGAAGGCTCGGGCTTAGACCCTGCGGCTATGATTAACGGTCAAGGCGCATTCGGTGCGCGCAGGTCGCCCGCCAAGACACTTTTTGGCTCGCCTGCTGTGCGCGGCTCGGCGTCCAAGAAGACCGCTGCGATCCGCCAAAACCCACTCTTGCGCCCGCCATCGTCGCCCTCGGCAAATACCATCCACCAGACGAGCAGCCCCAGCAAGCCGGTAAAACGGCGCCTCGACTACGGCAAGAACACAGCGGCCACTGCACAGCGCCGGCCGTTTACGCTTGCGCCCCCCACTGGCGCCAACGCGCGGCGCCAGCACCTGCTGGAGGAGGATGAGGAGGACAACGATGAAGAGAGTAACGTTCTCCAAGGCGGCCACATCGACGAGGACTCCATGCAGATTGTGGGCGGGCCGGACAGCTACGACGAAAACGTGGATGCCGAACCGCTCGAGGAAGAGTTGCCGGCGCGTCCGGCTGCACAAGTCAAGCGGCGCGCTGGTAGACCGCCGGGAAAGGGCAAGTCTCCCGCTACCAATTCGCCAGCAGCCTCCAAGAAACTACCACCAGGCCCGCAACAAATTCCCAGCTCTGTTCCCAAGAAGCGAGGACGGCCAGCCGCCGCAGCACCGGACCCAACTACACAAGATACCGAAGACGGGGCGCAAAACGCAAAACGCCGGCGGTTAGCAGCAGGTGCGGAAGAGGACCCGCCCAAACCCAAGGGCCGGCCAAGGGGACGACCAGCAGCAGCGGTGGCCAAGCGCGCACCGGCCGACGAGGAGACACAACCGGAGGAGCAGCCAGATGAGCCCGCCGACGATGCGGCACCGAAAAAGAGGGGCCGGAAACGCAAGTCGTCTGGCGTGGGGGCGGCGACAGCAGCAGCCGCCGCCGTCCCGCGCGGGCCGCCACTGCCAAAGAGCCGTGGCTTGGTGGTCCGGCGACGGGAGATTGCGGATGGCAGTGGCGACCTGGTGAAGACCCGCTCGGGTCGCAGCTCGTTCCGCCCGCTGGCCTTTTGGCGCAACGAGCATGTGGAGTTTGACCCCAACGACGTGCAGCAGGACGGCTTCGGCCGCAGGACGAACAACAGCAAGTTCTTGCTGCCCACGATCAAGGACATTGTCCGCGTAGACGAAGAGGTCTTGCCCCGTAGCTACGGCCCGGGCGGCAGCCGCCGTGGTGGTGGTGCTGGTGGCGCAAAGCGCGGCCGCAAGCGGCGACCGACGGGCGACGGCGACGGCGGTGACAACGAGCCCGACCGCGACGCATGGGAGGCGAATCCGGGTAAGGTGTCTGGCGACATAGTGGTGTGGTACCCGGAGCACGAGCTGGATCCGCCGGCACTTGGCCAAAACGTGGAGATGACGTCGGCCGAAATTGCGCTGTCGGACGCGGCGATCCAGACGCACGAGGTGCGCGGCGGCACCTTCCGGTTCGTCAAGACGCTGAGCTTGCCGTTCTTTGGCACAGGCATGGTGGACATGCCACCCGGGTCGGAGAAGAAGCTCAAGAACTCGCGCAAGATGCACATGACATTTTTCGTGCACTATGGCCATGTCCTGGTCAAGGTCAACGAGTCCGAGTTCCGCATTGCCAAGGGTGGCATGTGGTCCGTCCCGCGAGGTAAGCTAGTCGCACTGGCCGGCACACAAGCTTTCCCCCTTCCATTTTTTTTGGTTCATTTTCCCCGTTTCCGTGCTAACCAACACAGGCAACTATTACAGCATCACCAACGACAAGGACTACCCGGCCCGCGTGTTCTTCGCACAAGGCTGTGAGATCTTGGCGCCCGTCGAGCTGGACGAAGACGACCGAGGAAATCAATAGGTGGCCCGGCCGTGGCAGATGGATGATCATTTTATGCGTTCTCCCCTTTTATCTGGTGTTCTCTTCTATCTTTTGGTTCGCCTTGCTTCTGTTATCTTCCCTGGTCTTGTATGATTGTGCGAGAGGAGCACCTCAGTTATCCGCGATGTTTATGTTTTTGACACCTTGTCTATCTTTGGTTTCGGGGTATACCTCCAAACGTTTTTTTTATCATTTTTCTCTCCTTTCTATTATATTGAATTTTCTGGCGTCACCAAAAATTACGTTTTTTTTTCTCCATGACCAAACCTCATCTTTATGTAGGTTCTTCGATCCCGAACTGCAATTTGTCGCGTGTGAAATAGCCGCCTTTTGCGCAGTCCAATACAACACACGGCACGACGCACAATGACTTGCAGCCTAGGTGCAGCTCACTCACGCCACGGGACAAAACGGTACGGCAGACATAAAATTAGCATGCGATGACCTGTAACTCGCAGCTCTCACTCAAAAAATCGAGACCCACTTATACAGCCGAGCGAGTCCTCTGATTGGCCAATCAGTCCACGCTTCATTCAATTTCATCTGCCTCGTTTGCTGGCGATTTCTGGAGCTTCCTCCACAGCTACAAGCTGCGTTTTACGGGGTCGAACGCAAAAGAGCCATTTTCTGCTCCTTGGCTTTTTTGTCTTTATTCTGGGGCCAATCCTGCTGGTCATTTTGCCGCGGGAACCACAATATACTTTTTGCGGCGTTGTGCTCCATAACGTACCTCGGGATAGAAGTGACAACAGGGGGCACCGTGACTGCTTGTTTGCATGTCGTTATTATTTTATTTTCGATTTTACAGGTCCACTCAATGGCCCTGCCATTGTCATCTCAAGGAGGTTGTTCGGACGCTGTGCGCACACATATGTCTCACTATATTGGTGTGTGCAGTACAATTCACTGCGCAGCACCTGCCCTTTGTACCAAAGTCTAAACGCCTCCCGAAAAAGCATGTGCTTCGCTTGGTGGGTCGCGTTCGCCGCTTCCACCAACGTCCACGGACATATGGAAGTTGACGAGCGACGCAGCAGGAAGGCGCGACGTACAATAAGACAAGCATGCAATACAACAAAAATTAGAAAGAATGCGACCACAGCGGGTTAGCAGGAAGGAGCAGGTCAGTAGGAGCGAGACGAGAAACCCACAGCAAAGGAAGCTGCGAACAACCACATGGGAAAACACAGAAACAACCGCTCATGACAACGGATGGGCCTGGTCTGCGGAAACTTTTCCTTTTTGCTGATGAAAGAGCAATGCATAGTGTATGTTGTACAGTAAACAAGGAAAGGGCGCCCGCCAACAGCCACCAAAACTGCCAAACCCTGAAAATACGATGACGGACAGAAGGCGCGAAACGCACCCAATATGCGTTAGGCGGAACCGGCCGATTTGGAAAGAAAGGACAACCGACCTACATTCGTGGTAGGGCAGGGAAGGCGCGGCCCTCTCACCTCACTACAGGAAAGAAGAGAGGCTACCAATGCCGGAGAAGGCTAGGTGAAGCGTGCGGGCCTGACGACGGTTAAGCCAGCCCATCGTTGGCTCTTGTAAGCTCTGGGCGCTAAGACATCTGCCCAGTGTAAGGCACCCCGGTTTTTTGGTGCATTTCGGAGTCAAATGGAGTCCTTTTCGTCTCTCCACCCCTCATGCGTGTGTTTTGCCTCGCCTCAAAGTACCCGTGGCTCTAGTAGCTCGGCGCGACGGTCGCTCTTGCCTCTCTGCTCGGCTTGTCTCGATCGCTTTAGACGTTCTTGCTTTTTGTTTCTCTTTCTGATTTTTTTCTTTTTCTCTCTCCTTTTTTTCTGCTTCTTTTTGAACTTTTCTCCATACTCTCTCCGGCCTCTCCATTTGCATTTTGTTGTTTTCTCCAATAACACGGGACATTTCCCAATCGAGGCATACACGAGCAAACAGTTGCACAACAAAGTAACCACTTCCCTTTACAAAGACAGCATAGAGTCAGTCCATAGCCGGAACTGGCACGACTTTCGAGACACGACAACGACCGTTGGATTTACGAATTGCTTCATTTTTGGCTTTCGATTTTAGTTTTCCAGATTTCCAGATTTCCAGACCTTCGGTTTGCCATATTGCTTTCTGAGATACCCCTTCCCATCCCCCAACATACACAATGTCGGCCCCCCTTAAGCCCCACTGGGTGCAGCCCTCCCACCCAGAGATCCAGGAAGTCCTCATCGGCTCCAACGGCGACAGCGAGTTCACCACGAGGAGCATTTCCCGCGTCGACCTGCCCCCTTTTGCGCTCTTCGCGCCCATGGCCAGCCCGCCGGTCACTCCTGCCGCCGCTGCCACATACGCCACTGTCCAGGTTGGCCGCAACCAGCACATCAACTTGAACAGCGATCTCCTGTACATTAACCACTCCTGCGAGCCATCTCTGGTATGTATGATTGGAGAGCTGTCGTGTTTTTATTTATTTGGCTGTTTATCTATTTATTCATTTTTTTTTCATGTCCCTGAAGCTTCGTTTGAACTGACCTCCTTTTGTGCTTCTCCAGCTCTTCGATACCTCCAGCCGCAACATCTGGGTCGGCCCCAAGGGCCTCAAGGCCGGCGACGAGCTCACGTTCTTTTATCCCTCTACCGAGTGGGACATGGCCCAGCCCTTTACGTGTTTCTGCGGCACGCCCTCGTGCCGCGGCCGCATTAGCGGCGCTCGCAGCATGACACAAGACCAGCTGGCTGGTCTGTGGCTGAACGGCCACATCTGGGAGCTCCTCAACGAGCAGAAGCAGCAGAAGCAGCAGCAGGCGAAGACGGCAAGACCTGAGAATGGCACGTCTTCGCACGCCGCCGCGGCTGCCGACGCCCCGTCTGCCATTGAGCAGGCGCTGAAGGAGGAGCTGGCCCGCGCCGAGGAATCCCTGCACAAGGCCGACCAGGCCACTGAGGCTGCCCGCCGCGCGCTGGCCGCGCACCGCAACGGTCTCACCACGAACGGCAAGGCCCACACCAGCAACGGCACCAACGGCACCAACGGCGTCAGCAAGCCGGTCTCCAACGATGAAGCCCGCCACGGTACGTCGTCACGGGAGCTGGGCGGCGAGTTGGGTGGCGATACTGCCGAGCGTACGTAAAGGGGTGGGCGGAGGGCTAGGCGGGACGCAAAGGTACAACAAGGTGTGTGCCGTACAAGGCGGAAGATTATGGGGTGGTGGTTTGATCTATGAGCATGGCTTGCCTGGCCAAACCTAGGACATGCTCTCTTGTTATGTTTGATATTTGTTTTGTGTTTATTTTGGCCTTCAGATTCAACATCTATGGTCCTGTCGAATTTTTTTATGCCACATATAAAACAAGTCTAAAACTAGGGACTAAACAAATAAAAAAAAAAAATCAGTTTATATTCTTTTTTTGAATTTACCTCCTAAATATGGTAAATAAAGCAAATACTTATTCGGGTGTGTTTATAAGATAGTATTTATTATATTTATTGCTATGTTTTTATCGAGCAATGTATTTATCTAAAATTAGTTCTGTCCTAGAACTCCTAAGCAAACCGAACGAAACAAGAAAAAAAGGAGAAAAAAAGTTAAAGTGGGCTACAAAGATGCGCCCTGCCCGTCATAAGGACCATATAACACCGCCTGGAGCCGTCCCAAAAGGATAACAAGGATACACAAAACAAAAAGAAGCCTATACACAAAAACAGAAGAGAGAGACAAAGGAGCCGCAAAAGAGGCGAAAGAGGCAAAAGAGGCAGAAGAGGCAAAACTGGCCGAGAGTGGATGTGCCGCCTACGAGAACATGCCGCCGTCCCGCCGGCCTAGCTCGCTGCCGGCACCGCCCGAGTACTTGGCCTCCTCCTTCTCCCATGTGGCCCGCTCCTTGTACGAGCGCGCCAGGTACGCGCGCGCAAACTTCCAGGCCTCCGTGTCGGCCAGGTTCCACGCCTCGACGGCGCCGCGCATGGACACGTCCTTTTTGTTCTTGCTGACGCCAAGCTTCTTAGCCTTGGCGAGCAGGTCGCGCTCCTTGGCCAGCGCATCGGGCGACGCCACGGGCCCGTCGTCCTTGTCGTGCTGCGGGGGTGGCAGGCGCTCGGGACCGGGTACGGGCGTCTTGGACTCGCCCTTCTTGATGCCCCGGCCCTGGGCGGGGATGGCAAAGCCAAAGTGCCAGTCGACGTCGGTGGGCAGCGGCTGCTCGGCGGAGATCCAGAGTGTGTGGCCCTCGGCAAACTCGCCGGCAACGGCGCGCTTGAACCGGAGCACGCGGGCGCCGCCCGAGACACCGGTACCGAGCAGCTCCTTGGTAATGTCAAAGAGCCAGGCGTCCCGGTGCGACTTGCGGCGCAGCCACGCAACGTCGACGGCGCCCTGCTTGTGCGCGACGGACTGGAAGGTGTACGGGTGCGGCACCGTGCCAATGGTGTAGAGCGTCGACGTGTTGCGGTAGGTCGGTGGTGTGCGGACGCGCATCGGCTGGCGCGACACGCAGGGTTCGCACTTGGGCATGTTGGGCGGGCACGAGGCCTCGAGCGGCGACACGGAGCACTGCGCCAGGCGGTTGGCGAGATCGGTGGCCGCCTCAATCATCTGCGTCGTGTGCTCGGCGCGCGGCTTCAGGACGGCGACGCCGGACGAGAAGAGGTTCTGCCACGCGATGTGGAGATGGGCGTTGATGAGCTGGTTGAGGCTGGCTAGTCCGTCGGCCCGGTCACGGTGGATCATGTCGCCGACCTTGATGTACTTCATGGCGACGGTCTGGGTGTCGTAAAAGGCAATGGCGGAAGGCGTATCGTCGACGATAAAGGGATAGTCCTTGGTCCTGGCCTTCATGTCGTTGTGATCGTCCGCCACCATGCCGCCCACGGCGCCGGCCGGGTCGATAGCCCGCGCGGCAACCTGCTTGGCAGGAGGCGCCGCCTGGCCGGGGACGGCTGCTTGGCCAGCGGGAAGAGGCGACGGGGAGGTGGCCGCAAGTGGAGCCGCCTGGACAGGGTCCGCACCAAGAAGGGCGGCTTTGGCAGGAGCTGAAGCAGCGGCGGCCGCCGCGGACGCACCAGCCTGCTTGGCGGCGGCGCCAGCAGCACCAGCAGCACCAGCAGCGCCAGCAGCACCGGCAGCGCCCGCCGGAGCAGCCTTCACCGGCGGCAGGTCGGTGACGGGCGGAATCGCCTCCAGGAACGTTTCGGCGTTGACAATGGTCGGGTTGGAGAGGACCAGCTTGATCGCGTTGGAAATCTCCTCCTTGCTACCGGCAAACAGGCCATCGCTCAGGCCGGCCCAGCGGGTCAGCGCCGGGTACTCGCCACGGCGCAGGAAAGACAGCAAGGGATCGGTGCGGGGCCCCATGGGCAGCACAAGGTAGCTCGCCAGCAGACCGCCGCCCATGTTCTCCCAGGCCAGCCAGCGCATGATGTCGGCCTTGGCACCAGGCGTAATCTTCAGCTGCTGCACGTCCTTGTACCGCGGGTTGTTCATGGCCTCCGCCGAGCTCAGGAGCACGGGACGGAAGCCCTGTGCCCACCAGGCCCGGCGCCACGTCAGCAGCAGCGCACTCTCCGAATCGGCCAGCTTCCGATCGCGCTCAATGGCCGTGTCGTAGTAGCAGTAGATGGGGGGCCGGTCAGGTAGGGGCGGCAGCAGCGCGCGGCTCTCGTCGAGGGTGAAGGAGGAGGAGAAGGGCGTCGAGAGCCACTTCCAGTCGGAGAACCAGGCCGAGTCCTCGTGGGAGTCGTCTTTTTGGCGCGGCGGAGCGTGCGATTTGGGGCGGAAAGGGTTGAGGGAGTTGGACCATTTGTTCGTCCATTGCGGGTGGGACTTGAACTGTGGGATGGAGAATTTGTGGTCGGCAAACTTGGAGAGGCTCGGGCCGGTCGGCACGGCACTGGGAAGCGTGAAGATGACGGAGAACACGGCGAAGATGAAGACGGCCGAGATGAGGATGGTGATGCGCCGCGTTGTGATGGGCGGCAGCAGCCGCCCAAAAAGAACGTACTGCTTCGGCATGGTAGGACGTCGTCAAGATGCAATCGATGGTACAGGCCCGTTTGCTGTCTGTGGATTCGAGATCGCGGGGATGGGCGATGAATCTTGTTACAAAGAGATGGATGGGCCGCTGGAATAAAGAAAAACAGAGGCAAAATGCTCCAATGGAAAAGGAACGATATAGAAAACGAATGGCGAGAAGAGAAGAGAAGGATGCAGATGAAGAGGACAAAAGACCTCCTATCTCATGATGGCCGCAAAGACGGATGTCACAGAAGTGATGGAAGACGGTGGTCGTTCCAGAGAGCAAACAAACAAAAGAAACAAACAAACAAAGAAACTGAGAATCTAAATAGTGGCCTCTCAATGCAGTAAAGCAGGAAGCTCAGAGGTGTCGCACCAGTGTCGCCGTCTCTTGTGATGGTCGAGTGTTCGGGACGAGTGTCGAGAAGCACAGTATCGCTGGTACGTTGGGAAATGATGGCCAGCACAATCAAAGCTTCGAAAAGGAGGCGTTTCCATGCACGTCGTAGCGTCCAACTGTCCAACCGCGTCGTTTCCCCAGTTTCTTATGGGCCAACAGGCCAGGAACAAAGGAATACTTACGTAGGTGACTTTGACACGACTAGTCACGTGAAATTAGATAATTGGGACAGATAGCCTTGATGCGACCGCTTTTATTCTGCCACTTTAAGCGTGGGCCTCACACGTGACCCGTCCAATGAGTAAGGTGGAGAGGGCTGCTGGGTGGGGCTCGTTTTTTGCGCTCCCACACAAAATATTCCCACTTTGTGCATTTTTCTGGTCTTCCCAAAAATTTCCCAATCTCGACCGCGAACTTTTCTCCCGCTGGCATCTCACGACGACCTCGACACTCCTTTTATTTTCGACCTCAACCGCCCATCACCTCCCACAATCCGACACAATGGCTAAGGCTGGCAACTGTACGCATTTCCCCCGAAACACGCTCTGCATCGACTTGTTCGAACTGTTTCTCGATCGCCGTTTTTGTCTGTTTTTGCATTTGGACTAACATGAATTTTTCTCTCTCTCTCCAGCCATCCACTCTTCGCGCCGCAAGTCGCGCAAGGCTCACTTCAGCGCTCCCTCGAGCGTGCGCCGCAACATCATGAGCGCTCCCCTGAGCAAGGAGCTGCGCGAGAAGTACAACGTCCGCAGCATCCCCATCCGCAAGGACGACGAGGTCACCATTGTTCGCGGCTCCAACAAGGACAAGGAGGGCAAGGTCACGTCGGTCTACCGTCTCAAGTACGTGATCCACGTCGAGCGTGTCACCCGCGACAAGGCCTCCGGCCAGAGCGTCCCCCTGGGCATCCACCCCAGCAACGTCGTCATCACCAAGCTCAAGCTTGACAAGGACCGGGAGAGCATCCTGGCCCGCATCAAGGCCGGCCGTGAGCAGCGCGAGAAGGCCAAGGAGGATGCCAACTAAGCGGATCGAAATTCTCTTATTACTCGTTCCCACATAGTCGACAACCTAGCGAGGCGTTTAGAACACTCGAAAAGAAAAGGAAAAGAAAGCAACCTCACAAAAAAATTCGAAATATCACAACACATCCAGGAAGCAGGCAAAATTGGTCTGACCACTCTCACAGCCTCATACCAACGGGCCAGGACATGGACACATCAAGCCTGTTTCTTTTTCGAACCCTTCATTCTGTACCGCTACATACCCACCAAAACCGACGAGACCCACCAACGAGACGCCAATGTCTCCCCAGGTTGCTGATCTCGCTCGCTTTTGATTCTCGTTCGTCTTTTTTATGGCAACATTGGGCAGGGTTTTTGGGAGGCGGGCGAAAACAAATGGAGCCGCCTCGGGAAAGAGGATGGAAGCAAAAAGCACTCGACATCAATGAAAGACTTTTTTTTTTGACCAATGGCCATTTCACGTTCCCCACGACCACTGTGAAATGATCCATGGGAGGCTCTCCCGAAGATGATTCCAACGTATGCTAGGTGACCTTGAATGTTGTCGTAGCAGCTAGTAGTAGCTTGACCATAATGGTCATTGTAGTCTCGTAACTACTCGTACGACGCTCAATATGCAGTCATGTAGTGTCGAAAACCATACTGCGAGTTAGTCTGGTCTACCTTGGGACCAGGTCTGCAAAGTGGCACGCACAGTGAACAATTGGACTGCTCCAACATACTCTATCCTGTGTCCTTTCTACACTCATTGAAAATTTGCGAAGATATTGGCGGACACCGGTATATACTTGCAGTTGTCTGTAAATGCTTGTTTGACTGGGTAAAGCATAGCGAAATGGCTGCAGGCTCAAAATGTAACTATCTGCTATGGTACATACTGGGCTGCCTGACACTTATCAGATATCAAAGTAAATAAAAATAAGCCCTTCTTTGGCCAATAACGAGTACCAGATAACCCTCTTCTCGGCGGCAAGCAGTACTGACGCGACCGACGGTCTCGCGAATGCACCTCAGGGAAATCCTCTTCGTCGTCTGTTTCGACAATCCCGTCTCTAAACAAATGCGGCATGTCCTTCACCGTAAAGGAGGAAAAGAAGAAAGTTACAAAAAAAGAAAATACATGAATCGCAAGAAATAAAACACAATGTACATGCTGCAATGATGAGGAGCCGCTTCATGGCCCACGTTACAGAGTAACAAAACTGTAGTCGACGACACTGCGGAAATCGAAGCGTCCTTCAAGTTCAGAGGCTGTCCCAAGGACTGACATCGTGGTTGCTTTCGACGAGTGTCATTCTTTTTTGGAACTGCTGCTCAAGGGAGGTGGGCCCGACACTCTCTGGCGGCGGTCGGTTCTCTCCAATCCTTCTCGATGCCGGGGTGACGAAGATACTGCTGCCATCATCTGACTTGATTGGCGAGAGGCGACCTAGTGCCACAGGCGACGAGTGGACCGAGCTCAGAGACGCAGCCACCAGACTGTCGTAACCAGTTGAGTATTGAGGAAGAACACCTTGCACGGTAGCTGATGTGAGAGCACCCGGCAATACCTCGCTATTGGTAGAGATATTCCGTTTCAGGACAGTATGCAATAACTTGGACCTTGGCAGACAAAGTGTTAGATGCATTTGTGTTTCTGCAGTGGGAAAGCACTGACATGTTTGAGCATACCTTGTATTATTAGCCTGCGTATCCTGTTTTCCACCCTGAGTGACGTCCTTTGGCGCCTCTTCGAAACCCTTGGGATTCTTGTCGTTCACCTGCGACCGGTCTTCGAGCGCGTCCGAATCAGGACGCCTCTGAATTTAACAAACACGAGAACATGTTAGGAACAGAATAACGTCAAAAGTGTCATGGGTTGGATGAGTTTTACGGGACAACGGTTCCTCTTACCAGAGTGACCTTGACGGGCTTCTGTCTTTCTCTTCGAAACTCGGATGCGTACCGACCGGGGTTGCCCGCCTGAGAAGCTTGGGTAACCTCTGGCTGGAAAGCCCCCGTGTAATAGTCAACATCGGGGGCACCAATCGGAACATGGCGGCCCAATAAAGGGGGTGGTGGACTATCGCCGATTGCGTCGTTGGCAGGAGAAGGGGGGTAAAAGTCTTTTCCGTCAAACTTAGGCAGGCCTTTGCGCGTGAAGGACGGCGCCCTTCCCCAGAATAAGTACCGTGAGCGGGTCTCGTCATGAGTAAGTTCTCGCTCATAGACGTAGTCGCTGTCTCGTGCATGTTGGGGATCAATGCCGGCTGGAAGGGTGCCGACCAGATACGGCTTTGACAAGTCCGATTTGTTGTTAGTTGTGACAACAGATGGCTTCTTGTCATGGCTTGGACCCCGGACTCCGTAGGCGCGGCCATCATTGTTTTGGTCTACAGCACTGCTCTCGTCGACAGACGCACCGTCCCATTGGAACGATCCTCGAACACGAGGAGCTTGCGCTTCTGCGATGGCCAAAGAGCGAGGTTCAAACGGGGGTGCAAGTGCAGCCTTGATAGGAAGGGTCGACTTTTTGATGGGATCAGACAGTGCAAACGATGGGTCAACAGGATTCAGATGAAAGAGAGGTTCCTTCCTTCTGAGGACTTGTTTGTGGCGAATGCTGTGTGAACGTCTAGTGCTGCTGGAGACATGCTTCACTGTACCTTGCATGGATGCACTTGAACGAGATGCCCGATCGATAGCGCGACGCTCTGGTCCATTTGTTTCAGCTGCAATGGGCTCCTTCTTTGGATAGTGGTTTTCTTCAAAACGAAGCTGGTTTTGGTTCAAGGCTTCGAATCTGTCAATCTGGGATTGCAGCATTCGAATGGTTCGTTCCATCTCCTTCTCGTCAATTTGGTGTTTGTTGTAAAGCAACTGGTCTTCGTGGTATTTCAAAGAACCCCGAAGCATCTCGATCTGCTTCCTGCTTATTTCACTTGGTCGGATTGACGAAATAGGGGGGGCCGAGGGAAGCTGTGGTGCATTTTCCGACGATGGAACTGAACCAGCATTTGTCACGGCAGATTGACCGGGATGCGTTGGATTCGCTTGAGGTGCCTGGAACGGCCCGGGAAGACTTGGGAAGCCCAGGGGTGAATTAAACAAGTGGTTCATCCCGGCCTGCGATGGAGTCATGAGAGACCCGTGGAACAAGGCGAGAGGAAAGTTGGGATTTCCAAGAAACCCGGAGGGAATCTGAGAAGGTGGACCTACCGCGATATGAGGCGGAACAGCTGGAGGCGCAAAGGGGTACACCATCTGGCCATTGACTATAAATGGTTTCGTACGATCAAGCTGCTCGGAGGGCAGGTGCATGGGATGCTCGCGTGTTTTGTCAAACGTCGGTGTCTTGAAGTTCGACGGCTCTCTGCGATTGCCGTTTTGCACATTTTCCTTGGCAAAATTCTTCTCGGCCTCCGGCAGGAGCATCTGAGAAGCAGTGCCTGGTGGCCCTGGTTGAGGAGGAAACGGAAACCCACCAGGCATCGCGAGTCCCAAGGGTAGCGGCATCATCGACATTCTAGGCATAGGAGCTGGGAACGGAGGGTAGAATGGGTGGTGGGGAGGGAAAGCATACAGCGGCAAGTTGGATGGGTGCGGTCCAGCTAAGTATGGGCCATCGGGGACCCGCTGCGTCTGGTCATCCGGCGGCGGATTGGCATCTTTAGCAAGATCACCTTCATCTCCTTTGTCCTTGGGGCGCTTTGACATGGGCGAGGTGCCTCGCGTGTTAGGGACAATGCGGCCACCAGCAGTGACTCGAACGTGTGTAGGTGAAATGACAGCTTTGTAGAACCGCTGAAAGCCCTCGCTTTGCTGAGCATTGATACCGGTCGGCGCGGAGAGAGGCTCGGCCGACGTAGCTTCGGAGCCCACCCTGCCACGATATCGCCATTCCATTTCGGCCGGATTGCCAGTCGCAGCCTCACGGCGTGGCTGCCGCGTGACATAGACAATCTCATCGGGCGCACCAGGGAAATCAATTCGAGAGCGCGCTGTGCTTGACTGCTGGGTATGGAACGGCCTATATTTGTGGAAACGGCCAAGCGTACGAGATTCGCGAGATTCACTACCACTCTGACGACCCGCGGATCCCGTTTGAATGCCTGCGTTGGTGGTTAGCGGTGGTATTTTTGGATTGGAAGGGGCGCAGGTGTTGAGACATGTCCATTTGCCTGCTTACCGTGATCCACCCCCTTCTGGGGCGCATCCTCAAGTGACATCGGTACGCCAAACGCCCGGAGCTCGAGGAGCTGCTGAGCTGTGTACTTGTAGGATGGCATTGTGGTGGTACAGTCGACAAAGGCGAATATGCAGAACGTTCGGTGCGTCCGGAAGCAGTGCCAAGTGAAAATAGTTGCAGCTGTGGGTGGCCACTTTCCGCGAACAGGGGGAAGGCAGGACACAATGTAGCGGATCAGAGGGCTGAAAAAGACGACGGATGTTTCCTGGTTTGTCAGTTTCTGGGCCTCAAGCTGAGAAACGATGAACTTCCGAGCACTGCCACGTGCTACAGGAATGTCCAGCACGGTGTCTGGGCCGGAAAAGACCTGTGCAAGCTTGCAATACTTGCTGCTCCGCAGATCGTGCTTAATAGAGAGGCAGATGGGACCAGTCAACTCCTGATCGTGGTATTGCAACTCCGACAGCTTGTTAACCAATCTCTTGGCGCGCTTGCTGGACGTGGTAGATGCCATTTGTGGAGGCTTCGGTAAAGCCGCGATGGTGACGTAGACTTGACGCGGCGAGACCAAGTTGCAACTTGCTACTTTCCAGCCTCAAAATGCCAGGATTCAAATACAGGAAGAAGAAAGGCATAAGCCACAAGGACATGAAAACAAGCTACGGAAATGGGAGAAGCAACAAAACGTAAAGCATAAAAACAAACAGTAGCCCTGTACGAACGACGACAAAGATTGGAGAAGGGGAGAAGGAGGGGATTGACGGGAAACAGCACCACAAGCGTTAGCCAAAAAGGCTTACCGTATTGGAGCGAAATCAGGTCGAAGTGCCTGGACAGATGCTGAGTAGCCACCACGAGATGCGTGTTGCACGAGCAAGCTGATAGGAGGGCGAGGTGGTTGGCTGATTGCTAGGTGTTGTTTTTGTTGGATGACTCTCCAGAAGGGAGGGAGATGCAGGGGCAAGACGGCGCAAGCAGTAGACATACACGTGTTCGTGTCAAAAAAGTTCCAAGAAAGGGCGTGCACTGTACAACAAGGATGAATCTGAGCAAAAAAGGTGCGAACAGAAAAGGGGCGAGAAGGAGACGGATGTCGATGGTGACGAAGAGTAAGGATGAAGATGGGAAAAAATCGCACAGAGGGAGGGGAAAACACAAATGCAGTGCGATGCACAGGAGCTGCCCCAGGACGACCAGTCGCGGCTGCTAGACTGAGTGTTCCAGGTAAACAACTTTCCTTGGCCCCACGACGGTCTGTTTGTTGTCTTTGTCTGGCCTGGGAAGCTGCGATAGACACAATGAGAGAGCTTGTGGACCTGATCTTGTTAAACTGTGAACAAAGTGGTCAAGATGGCAGGATTCATAACAGGAAGAGAAGGCGCAAGACGTCGAGGAAAGAGCGTGTTTCGTGATAGAGCGACGCTAGATGCCATGAGATGGTTGCCTCTGTTGCGGGCAGCATGGCTGTTGATTACAGGTTCGGAAAGAACGAACAGAATGTGTCCAAGTTACGATCGTGCCTTCCTAATGCGCACTCCACTCCGACTGACTTCAGCAAGTGAAGCACCCAAGCGCCGGAATGGCAAGAAGGAAGGTACTCGCCAACGTGCCTTATAGCTGCACTTTCCTTGACTCCGTGACTTCTGCGTCTGTCCAAAATAAATAGTCAAATAGTGAGGCGGATGGCCACAGGTGCTGTGACGTTGCAGGCACGTGAGCCGTACGAAGACAGCCACATTGTGACTTCACGGAGCCTACACTGCGGACATCAACTTGGAGCAGCGAGTGAGGCCTGTTTTTGATTGTCAAGAGTCGCTTTGGGCCGGCAGATTGTTCACTTGAATCGTGGCTTGGTTGGGACCAGATGTTGTCAGCTTCGAATCGCTTGATTGCCTAGTTTTTGAGGTAATACTTAGAAAATACGTGGCACTTTAAGGATATAAATGGCAGTAACAATTCGATACGACAAGTACAAGTCTCGATGAAATGCTTTGTTCAAACAGAAACGACCCAATCGCAGTGATGCGATGCGTGCGACTTGTTGACGTTTGACCCCTGTCGCATGTTCACGTGACAACGAGCGAGTATGAAATGCGCCAGGGGAGTTCCATGGCCTAGTAGCCAATCGTGGGAGCCCCTGTGGGGAACTGGGCCAGGGACCGTTAGCTGGCCGGGGCCACTATTGCCTAGTTCTACGCGTGTTGGCCAGAAACGTGAACTCCTATTTTCCGTACAACAGAGACAGGAGGTATTCCGCATCGACGACCGCCCGACGGCCCTTTCCGACAATCTCTTGACGACAGAGCGGACTTAGGGCGAGACTTTGGCGTCCGGAAATTCAATACGACAGACGATCGACCCATTTCCACCGCCATTCAGAGCATCTAACCCCTATTTGTTTACGGCATCACAACCCAACCGCAACTTGAGATGACTGGCCTCTGCATGTCTACGCATTGACGACCCCTGAGCCTTTCGACGACACACTCTCCCTTAACGGCCTCTTTGCCATGGAGCCTGCCGTGGGGCATCTCGTCCAGCTGCAGGATGGCACCCGCGGTATCATCCGGTTTGCTGGGCGGCCGCACTTCGCGCCCGGCGACTGGGTAGGCGTCGAGCTCGAGGCGCCCACCGGCAAGAACGACGGCAGTGTGCAGGGCGAGCGGTACTTTGACTGCGCGATGGGCTATGGCATGTTTCTTCGGCCGAAGGCGGTGACGGTTCTTGGCGTGGCTGGAGACGGCGAAGACGACGACCATGACGACGACGAAGAGGAGGAGGAGGAAACGGAAGAAGCAGCACCGGCTCCACTTCCTGCACGACAGCAACCACAGCGACCGGCTGCGGCTCGGCCATCGGTTGGCACGACCGGTCCAGCAGCGCGAAAATCAACCGTGGGCAGCCGCCCAAGCAGCGTCTACACTGGCACCTCTGCCGGTACTCGGACCAGCATGTCAGGGGACCCGGGGCTCACAAAACGGATGAGCCTCAACGCGCCGAGTCCTAGCCCGGTATCCCGGTCGCGTCCATCAAGTATAGCAAGGGTGAGTTTCGCGTCTGGAGGAGTTTCGAAGAGTTTTGGTGGTTGTGATTGCGAGGCAAATGTACTCACATTGGGTCTGACGTGTGGGTAGTCACCGACGAAATCGCCGACAAAGCAACTTGCCACCGGCCCTTCGAGCACGGCGACCTCTCGAACCGGGACACCCTCCAACGCTGGCACCGGTGCTGGTGGCCGACTGTCCTCTGTAACTTCGCGACCTCGCCCATCGGTCGGCGGCACGCGGACATCCATGGGGCCCCCGGCAGTGCCTGCATCACGAGGTGGCCGTCTGTCGACCACGTCCACGGCAGCCGGGCGCACGAGTACCACAGCGCAACCACGCCTGGGAGCTGCGCGGCCAGGCGTCAGCAGTGCGACGACGTCTCGCGTGGGCGGCCGGCCGTCCAGCATCCGTGTCGCGTCGGGAGACTCTGGCAACGAAAGCGCCGGCAGCAGCCGTCTGAGCAGCGCACGGCCCACCCGCGGCAGCATCGATGGCCGAATCATGTCGCCCCAGAAGAGCAGCGACGACGAGGTGCTATCGCCACAGCCGAAAAGCCCCGTGCAATCAAGGGCCGCGGCCTTGGAGCGCCTCACGTCGGGGGCATCCAAGGCCGGTGCTGCCGCAGGCGCCCGGCAGACAGCGGTGGCCAGCGCCAGCGCTGCTGCTGCATCGGGCACCCGCCCCACTGCATCGGCAGCGGCCGCACACCGTGAGATTGAGGATCTCAAGGCGAAACTGCGGGTGTTGGAGCGCAAGCGGCTGGAAGACCGTGACAAGATCAAGCAGCTCGACAAGCTGAACGCAGACTGCGAGAAATACCAGGCGATCATCCAGAAGATCCAAGCCAAGTACCAGCCTCAGCAGCAAGAGAATGCCGACCTCCGCAGACAGCTCAAGGAGGCCGAGGGCCTCTTGGAGTCGGTGGAGACGATGCAGGCGGAGCACGACTCTGCGATGGAGCTGGCCACGCTGGACCGGGAGATGGCAGAAGAGCAGGCGGAGGTGTACAAGGCGGAACTGGATGCTGTCAAGCTGAAGAACGAAGAGCTGGAGCTCGAGGTGGACGTGCTGCGCGGCGAGAATGCCGAGTTCACCCAGGGCATGTCGCCGGAAGAGAAGACCAGCGCCAGCTGGCTGCAGATGGAGCGCACCAACGAGCGGCTGCGCGAAGCCCTGCTGCGCCTGCGCGACATCACCCAGCAACAAGAGGAAGAGCTGCGCGACCAGGTGAAGCTGCTCGAAGAAGACGTCAAGGAGCTGACGGCGACCAAGGAGCAGCACGAAGCGACCAAAGGCAAGCTCGCGCAGGCAGAGGCTGTCGTCGAGGACCTGCGGCAGCAGCTCGACGCGGCCCAGGCCGCCGACGACATGATTATGGACCTCACGGAGCGCAACATGAGCCAGGCCGAGCAGGTGGAGGAGCTCAAGGCCGTCATCGAGGACCTGGAGAACCTCAAGGAGATCAACGACGAGCTCGAAATCAACCACGTCCAGAACGAACGCGAGATGCAGGAAGAGCTCGACTTCAAGGCCGCCGTCATCCAGGAGCAGGCGCGCCGCGCCGGCCAGCAAGAAGAGAAGCTCGAGGAGATGGAGTACGGCCTGACCCGGTTCCGCGAGGTGGTGACAAGCCTGCAGAGCGACTTGGAAGACATGCGGGCGTCGCACGCGGTGACGGAGAACGAGTCGGAGCAGCTGAACAGCCGGTCGCGCGCCATTATGGACCTCAACATGAAGCTGCAGCTGTCGGCGGCCAAGGCGCAGGTCAAGACCATCGATCTCGAGCTCCGGCGCATGGAGGCCCAGGAGGCCGAGCAGCACCTGGAGATTGTCAAGCTCTTCCTGCCCGACGCGTACGTACAGACCGACCGCAACTCCGTCCTCGCGCTGCTGCGCTTCCGCCGCCTGGCCTTCAAGGCGAACCTGCTCAACGGATTCGTGCGCGAGCGCGTCAACCAGCCGGCGCACCCGGGCCACGAAGACGACGTGTTTGTGGGCTGCGACGTGGTGGACAAGCTCACGTGGGTGTCGGCCATGTGCGACCGCTTTGTGAGCGCCATCAGCCGCTGCTCGACGGACAACTTTGCCCGCTTCGACGGCGCGCTGTATGAGCTGGAGCCCGTCGAGCGCGCACTCAACGCCTGGATCGACGGCCTGCGCCGCGACGAGCTCAAGGAGCAGACGTGTGCCGACGAGCTCCAGCGGTCCATTGCGCTCATGTCGCACTTGGCTGAAGTGCACCTTTCACCTACCGCCACCCAGCAGCGGCAGCAGCAGCAGCAATCCACGCCCAAGGCCAACGGCTTCAGCAGTCTTCTTCACAACAACCTGAACAACAACAACAGCAGCAGTGTCAGCATCGGCAACGACGAGGAGCATGAAGGCCAGGACCTTGAGGGCTTTGCCGACAACCTGCAGATGCGCGCCGTGCTCACGCAGAGTCACCTGGAGTCGGCGTCGATTGCGCTGCACACGGCGCGCGGCATGGTGCAGCGGGTCATCCCACCGGCCGACGACGAGGACGACGCGGCACAGTACTTTGCACGCCGCGCGGAGGCGGCCATTGCGCAGACGCGCAGCGCCAAGGTGGTGGCCAGCAAGGCAGTGCGGTCGCTCGAAGAGCTCAAGTCGCGGTCACTGTCGCTGATGCCGGACACGCTCGAGGCGTTTGAGCAGTGCGAGGCGGCATCGCGTGGCCTGGCCGAGCTGGCCCGCCGCATGGGCCTCGACCTGTTCGCGCTGCTGCACGAGGAGGGCCGCACGGCGCCGTTCACGTACGCCGAGGTGCAGACGGTGGTACACAACACGACGCTGGCCGTGGCCCGCGGCACCAACACGGACGGCGGGTCGGCCGACGAGGACCTCTTTGCCACGTACCTGGCCCGGCTGCGTGCGGTGGCCAGCCAGGTGTCGGACGTGGCGGCGCTGTCGGGCGACCTGTCGCAGACGCTCGAGTTTGAGCGGCCGGCCGCGCCGTGGGTGGTGCGCGGCCAGGAGATCAAGGCGTCCAAGACGGTGCCCGTGGACGCCGAGGAGGAGCTGCGGCGGCTGCGCGACGACCACGCCGAGGCGCGCCGTGTGATTGCGCGGCGCGACAACGACCTGGGCACGGCGCAGCTCAAGATCGAGACGCTGGAGAGCAAGATGCGCGACGCGCAGAACAAGGCGTCGGTGATTGCGGAGCTCGAGCGGGCGATGGCGGCCGAGCAGGTCTTTACGAAGCAGCTCAAGGAGGACATTGAGAAGCAGGACCGCGAGCTGAAGAGCCTCGAAGCAGACCGCGACCGCTGGAAGAAGATTGCCAGCGACGCCAGCCTCCTGGCAGGCGCCGGCGTGGACGACAGCGCAGGCGAGGACGGCGAGTACGGCGCAGACGGCGGGCAGCTGGGCGGCGTTGGCGGTGTCGGTGGCCGGTCGGGCCACCAGGCAGCGGCGCGGCACTCCAAGGAGCGGGCGGTGGCCACGGCGCGCGAGATGGAGGCCCTCAAGGCCGAGATTGGCAGCCTGCAGGCGGCCGTGCGGTACCTGCGCGAAGACAGCCGGCGGGCCCGTCTGACGGAGCAGGCCAACCACGCCTGGCTCGCCGAGCCGCTGCTGCAAAAGAACCAGCGGAGACAGCCGCTCCAGCCAACAGCGGCCTCGCGGGCCCAGGCGGTGGCTGTCGAAGCACGCGATGTGCTGGGCGAGCTGGTGAAGATGGCCAGTGCCGCCCGCGTGTACGATCTCGGCAAGCAGCTGCCCGCAGACCGTCTGGCGTGGCGCCCTGCGCACACGTCGCCCGGCTACCACGCTGCCAAGCTGGCTGAAGACTATGCGGCCTGGAAGGGCTGGGAAGCGTCCGTGGCGCGCAAAGCACGGGACGTGAGTAGCGGTGCTGCTGCGGCCGCGGCCGCTGGCGGTGCTGGAGCCGACGTTGTGCTGAGCAAGCGTCTGGCGCGCAAGCAGCACGCAGCCTCCGCGCGGCGGCAGCAGATTCGCCTTCCGGGAACGGCTGACGGCGGAGGCGAGGACAAGGAGAACAACCCTGCTGGTGGTGTCCGTGTTGTTGGCGAGAGAACGCAGTCGTGGTGGCAGCGCCAGGTGCACACAGACGACCCAGTCTATCGAGCCTAAGAGGGAGGCCGTGCTGCCACGGGAGGAGGGAATCGTGGCCCGACGTGAAACTATACAGAGCTGTCTGCTATATACCCCATTCCATTTCTATTTACTTGTCACTCTGTGGCCGCATACGACGTACAATTCATTTTTTTTTAAAAAAAAAAAATTTGTGCAATAAAAAAGCTTCGTTTTATTATACCGCGCTGTCAAATGCCCGCAGAAACCCCCAAGTAGATGGTCTGCATTTTTCTACAACTGGTCCCCCTCGTGCCGTTTGTTTGTCTATGCCTTTCCTTTGCCCTTTTTGCCCTTCTTGGTATCGCTGCCGCCAATCGCGCCGCCCGGTGCTCCGCCGCCACCGCCTCCACCACCACCAGCAAGCGCCGCCATTGCCTGCCGCATGTCGGGCATGCCGCCACCGCCCAGCGCGCCCAGACCGCCCGGTCCGCCGGCGCCCTGCATCTCCTTCATGACGTCCTGGAACAGGTTCTCCGACACGCCGCCGCCCGTCATCGCCGGGCTCAGATATGGCACCAGTTCCGGCAGCTTCCAGCCGCGCGGGATGGCCGGGCGCGGGTAGGCTTCGCCGCGGGGCGGCGGTGGCGGCGCGCCGCGCACGGTTTCGCGCAGGCCGGCGCTGGCCTCGGTGGTCGGGTGGGCGGCGAGGTAGCGGGCGACGAGAACGTAGAGGTGGTGCTTGTTCTTGACGGCGGTGCTGGCCTTGAGGTCGACCTTGACGCGGCCCGGGTTGGCCCAGTCCTTGGGGTGCGTCTTGGTGGGCTCGAAGACGGTGCGCAGCTGCAGCGAGGCGCAGGCGTCGACCATGTCGCGCGCCAGCGGGTTGGCCACGGCAAGGCTCTTGCTGACGCGGCGTCCCTCGGCACGCGAACGGTCCTTGTCAAAGTAGACCGGGTAGAGCGCGGGGAAGCCGGCGTAGGCGGGCGGGGGCTCTACGCCGCCCGGGCGGCCAATGTTTGAGCGTTGTTGCTGCTGTTGCTGGAACTGGTGTGGTATTGAAGATGCGCCCGAGGGCTGTGCGGGTTGTCGTGCGGCGGCGGGCTCTTTGCGGCGGATAATGTCAGTCTCGTCAAAGTCGTCAATGTCGTCCTCGGAGGGGTCTGAGTACACATCGTCACTGTCCTCAACCTCTTCGACTATTGCGTGGCGTGACATGATGTCCGATGTAGTTGTGAGAGGATGGGGGAAAGATTGAGACGCAAAGGGGCTGGGAGGTGAGGGTGTCGCGATGTTTGCGTTGAGGGGCGCAAATGCGGATGTGGTTATGTGGTCGTCAGTAGGCGGCACCTTCCTCGTTTGTAGCCTGCATTTTTCTTGTGGGCAGAGCTGGTGGGGCGCTGATTGTGAGGACGGCGTGTGGTAGAAAAGTGGGTCCTCGCTAAACAGCGAGAGCCTCGTCACATACAACGGCGAGGCTGTCATAAGACGGGATCGAGAATATTATGCCCTACATTGCGGGTGAATAAACGTCAATCGGCAAGCAAAACGAAATATATGAATTCAATCTGTTGTTTTCGGACACATCAGGACCCTAATATTGCCTTTTGGATATGGCACCGCCAGGTTGCTCGTCTGCATTGTGGCAGCACGTGACCACTTTAAATGTAAATACCACGTCCACCCTTCAATATCATTCCATGACTCCATATCGCTCCATATCGCTCCATATCGCTCCATATCGCGTTCGATCTCTCGAGATCAGGTCCAGTTAATCCATCTTCCAGCGTCCCCGTCGTACACGACGCGGGACACACTCACATCTTTCTCTTATAACATCCTCACATCTTCTCAATCGCACCTGGTTTATTTTGCATCTATTAATCGTCACCGAGGAACGGTTGCTTAAACTTTGTGTTCGGCGGGTGCAGCGCCGAGGGGAACCGGCAGTACGGCTGCAGGCAGTTTCCGTCGCGCACACTCGGGCACTGTGAGAACACGTTAGTGGGATGGTCCGCCAAAGACGAAGCGCCTCGTCCGACGTCGGGTAGACGGGGGGACCTACATGGTGGCCATGAATGCACTCCTCAAAAGTGCAGTCCTGGCCACGGCTGCAGGGCGACTGGCGCATCAGGAACGACAAAGCCATCTTCTCGTCGGCCGTCGCCTTAAGCTTGTGATTGTATTCGCAAGTGTCCTTGGTGCAATAGCCCAAAATGACATAGTTGTTGCAGAACTTGTCCTTGCCCTTGCGTTTCTTGACGCAGTCCACAGCCACCGGGTTGTATGTGACGGGCGGATCGAGGCCGCGCTCGCCGGGGCTCCAGATCGGCTTTTTTTTTTCGAGCTGCGCGGCCGCAGTGGCCGCTGCACTTGCCGCCTTGGCCTGCAGGCTCTTTGTTGTGGACTGCGGGAAAGTCATGGTCGGCGGTGGGCTGCTACGCTTGGCCGTCGTACCGCTCGCGTAGCTGATCGACGGCGATGTGGTGGGCGACAGGACGCTGGTCTTTGTCGCGTCGTTGTTCGGTATGCCGCCGTTCGGTTTGGCGGTTACAGTCTGGCCGTTGGTGGCTGCCGGCGACGCGCGGCCGGTGCCGTTCGGCATATAGTTCACTGGAGCCGCATTCGGGATGCGGTCGGCAACCAGTTTGTCGGACCGGAATACGGTTTCGTTCAAGTTGGTAACCTCAATATTGGTGGCAATGAGCTCGCGCACCGTGGGCGAGCCCTCGAGAATGCGGAGGCGGTCGCGCATCTTGTAGTTGCTGCTGAGGTCATCTAGGAAAGGGGCGTACCCGGAATCATGGGAAATGCCGAGCACAACCATTTTGCAATTGGCATTGTGCAAGTGCCACCGGGCATCCTCTGCCATCGTTAGAATTTGGGTCATTCGCGAAACGGACGGGAGGGGCTTTCGATCGCACCTTTAATTTTGGAATCGGCGCGTTCTTTGCCGTAGCCAACGTCAATAAAGTCAAACGAGGCTTTGGCCTGTGTAAAGCCAAGGGTAAACTGCTTGAATTGATCTTCGCTAACGATGACGCCCGCCTGGCGCATGGCTGTGGCCAGGCCGGACTTGTTGACCCAGACCTTTACGATAATTTCCATCTTGGACGCCTGGTCGCCGCATTTGTCGACGATGGCGGTGCGTAGCGCATGGGCAGCCCGCTTGCCGCCGTCGACGCCATCGTTGATGAAGGTGTCTTGGAACTGTTCGGTTGGTCGTTAGTTCTGCGAGCATGTGGAAAAAAGGGAAAATGGAACGGGACGTACTAGGAGCCCATCGCCGTCGATCAATACAGCGACGTAAGGATGTCCATTCTGCATATCTTTCCGTCAGTCTCCATCTTCGTTCCTTGGGCTGTTTTCAGGTCTTTTGTTTTTCCCAGCCATAGTGTACCCTGCCCACTCTGCCCAGGCTGCCCAGTCTGTCCAGTCTCTTTTCTCTCCAATGCCACGCACCCTGTGTTCGTCGTTTTCGTTTTTAAGCTGCTGAATATCGTTGTTTAATGCCTGCACTTGTTGCTGGAAATTGCGTCGTGAGTTCTGGGCATCGTCTAAGTCGAGGCGGCAGTTGGCAAGGTCTCGCCGCAGCTGGGACGTCTCTGTATGCAGCCGAGATTCCAACTGCTGACTGTATGTGAACAGATCCTATAGCGGGAGAGCACACGGTCAGTTCCCAGAGCAGACTGAGCGAAACGATACGCAAAAACATGCTGCAGAGACTCTTTCTGGCAAAGACACACCTCTAGGAGCTGCGATTGACTATCCTCAAAATGTCGCAGTTGTTGAAACCGCTGCTTAAGCAGGCCCAATTCATCGCCTATCATGGTTCTTTGTGTGGTAAGGCCCGAGTGAGAGAGGTGCGAAGACACGGAGTGACAGTCGAGTCTATCAAAGGGAGGAATGAGGTTGGGGGAGATCTTCCAAGTGTGATTCGTGAGCCAAAGGTCAGAGGAAACCGAGCGACCGCTTGGCCGCGTTTATGTTACGCGTCGCGAAGCTTGCGCGTGGTGAACGTCGTGGTCGGCGTGTAGAGTGAGAGAAGGAGCGAACGTTAGAGTGTAAGAATGGAGAGGAAAGAGCATCGCAACAAAAATTGAAATAAAGGGGATAAAGGGGAAGGCGAGGACTGCTGGAAGCAGTGTATTATATTTGGGAAGGTGCAAATGAGAACTGCAGAAGAACTTGGGAAGGAGCGATGACGGTCGCATATGTGCGCTAGGAGAGCTCGTTGCAGTCCAATCTCTAGAGTGGTAACTAGGCCGAAAGTAGCAATTGCCAGGAGCACTGACAAAGTCAGAAAGCAGGTAACGGTAACGGGAAACTGCGACTGACAGCTTCCTTGTATCGTATCCTATGTACAACGTATGGAGCAATAATATGCTATTTAGTCTGTTTCGGTTTTTTCTTTCTTTTCGATTTCCTGTCTTCCGCCTCCTGCTTCCGGCTTCCTTCTACTCTGCCCTAAACGACCCCATTCGTTTTCAACAACACACATCGCCAAACATACGTGACGACTGTATGATTGGCAGACAAGTCGGGCTGCAACAGACCAACTTAGCGCGTTGGCGTACAATTATTGCCTGCTCCTCTCTACTGAGTCTTTCCCGCCTTGTCTAAACTACAAAAAACAGAAGCCAGCAGGCGGAAAGCAGAAAACGAAATGAGAAAAAGAAATAAACGCACTTTAGATACGGCATACGGCAATGGGAAACAGAAAGCAGAAAGACACCCGCCAGGAGCATCGATCCTCATCTTGGACCTTCCAGGCGACGGGTGTGATTAGGCCACAGACTTACTGCATCTAGCCAGAGTCCATGGGGCTTGTTTGAACATTGTCAGCTTTGGGCTTTGCTGCATGCCTACTCCGAAGTACTCTGTACACGTGCCATTTTAGATACAATATGCTTCCTATGTCGTACAACTACAAACATGCCTTGGATAGAGAAGATGCACCCCTGCGGTGGCGTTTTATTGTCCAATTTTAAGCCTGGCATCACCGACCATATCCAAAAAGTGCGTATTGTCTGATCCTGCGTCCCTCCATTCCGGCTCAAAACGAGTTGTAGTTGTTCAGCAGACTCCATAAACTATTGTTACCAAAGTCACCTTCAAACTGCCAGGGGATCACCGTGCCGTCAATCAGCGAGTTCACTCCCCGGCCTGCGGCGTCCTCGCCCGGTTGCTGTTGCTGAGGTGACGCACTCTCACGACCATCCTGTTTCGCCGCAGCCGCAGGGCGCGCTGCCTCGACAGCGGCAAAGGCGGTCGCGTCCGCGGTATCCAGGTCGGCAGACAGGCTGCCCATGCCCGAGCTGACATTGTTCATGAGGTCCAAGCTGTTGCTGCCAATCCCGCCCATCAGACTGCCTCCACCAGCGCCGCTTCCGCCGCCGCCCCACGTCGATGCTGCCGACCCGTCGCTGACGCCAAGCAAGATGTTGTACGCCAAGTCGCCTGTCGGGCAAATGGGTGGCAGCGACGACCAGTCAAAGTTGTCTGGGAACATCGAGTCGACCATTGCGTCGTCTGCGGCAGTCTGTGTTCCGGAAAGGTCGCCAAACTCTTGGGACACCAACTGAGGGTCGAGAAGGCTGGACGATGCGACCGGTTCAGATCCGTCCTGGTCCTGCTGTGACTGCTCCTGCTGCTGCTGCTGCTGCTGCTGTGTCGTCTGACCCTGATCGAGGCTTTTGCCATCGTCGGCCGTCGGACCATGCATCCCGATAGGTCCTGCTGCAGATTCGGTGGTTGGTGTCTTTGTGCCGTTACTAAAGACGTCGCTTGCTGCGCTCGAGAGGACCGATGCAGAGGAGACACCGCGTGGTGTGCGGTCGGTACTGGCCGTGGCGCTTCCATTCGTGCCCTCGTATCCACCATTGCTTCCCGAATCGGCACCTCCACTCCCCGTCTTGGCGGCCGCCGCCCCCAACACCGGCCCATCGCCCTTTAGACTGGGATCAATGTTACTGAGCGTCAAATCATCGACAGGCGCCGCGCCGGGGCCTAGGATGCCGCCCAGGCCATGGTCGTTTTCGAGGAAGCTGATGCCGAGCGTTTTGCGCAGCCGCAGGTAGATGGCGTGGAGCACGCCGAGCGCCGACCGTGCCAGGCTGTAATGCTCCATCATGATCTCGAAGCGCTGGACCGACCAGCGGTAGTGCTGGATGGCGTCCGGTAACAGCTCGGGATGTTCCTTGGGGAACAGGATGTAAATGGCTGCCATCAAGACGAGCGAGTCGAACGTGCCGAAGAAGAGCGAAAACGTCTTGTACTGCTGAGGCTTGAGAGACGCAAAGTACACCCGCTGGACTTGCAGCATCCGGATGCACGCCTTGAGGGCCTCGGTGCGGCTCTTGGCCCGCGTAAAGATGTACGGGCGGTGGAGCGCCATGTAGTTGAATATAATCACCTGTGGCGTCGTAGCGCGGATGCTGGGCAGCCACGCAAACCCAGGCAGGTTGTCGTAGCGCGTGTCCGGGTTGTCCACGCGGAACACGGGTGGCGTCCGCGACTCAATCTCCACAATCGTCTCGTGCAGCTCATCGATGCGGCTAAAGTCGCGGGGGCACGGTCCTTCCTTTTCAAACTCGAGAATCGGGCGGAGCGGCGAGATGGCTTCAAACGACCAGATGGCGCGTGACAGCGGTGTCGGGGGATCGTTCTCACCGCGCGCCTGCACGGGCATAGTGGAACGCTCGGCATAGGTCTTGGGCATGATGCAGTCGATGGGCAGCGTCATGCGGGCCGTGGGGTCGACGGTGATGGGCCGCCCAAGAATCGCACCCATTTGGATGTCCCAGCTGACGAGCGTCATCCAGAGGCGGCGGCGCAGCTGTATCTCCCACTGGTTTTCGAGAACGGCTTCGGCAGTATTGGCCCATGGTTTGGGGTCCATTGAGGTGCGATGCAGCCCGACCTCTTGCGCGTCACGAATGGCACCTCCAATAGCGTGCCACTGAGAATTGCATTAGATACATAAACTGTTGGGTGAGAGTAGCAATAGTTGGGGAAAGGGGGGAGGGTGGGTTCATACAGCTTCCGTAATGAGGGCCACGTATTTCAGGAAAGCGCCTCGTGCAAACGCAGCCAACACCGTCGTAAACGACATTTGCCGCTTGCCCAGCAGCGACAAGATGCCCATGCCAGCTTCGGAGTAGTCCAGAGCGAGATCCTCGCCGGTGGCATTGTTGGCATGCTTGATGCCGTCGAAAAACGCCATGTGTTCCTCATTGTTCGGTTCGAGCATGAGCAGGCCCATGGCCATGACGTTGAAGAGAAGCGCGGGGAATGCGCGCAGGTCCGGAGACAGCTGGTTCGGCGATTGCAGCGTTCCAAAGGGACCCATGGCAACGTCAGTCCAGTCATTGAGCTGCTTTTCAAAGACGTCTTCGTCAATGGCATAGTAGTTCCAGTTGTACTCCTTGAAGTAGGTGTCGACGAGGCGGTCGATGGCGGCGCGTGGTGGCAGCTCGCGGACGAGGGCTCGGTATCGGTCCGCTGTGCCGTAGGGATCGCCAATCTGCGGCCGCTGGTGGAGTTGGTGGTCAAACGAGGGGTGTTGGGAGTGGATGAGCTTGTGGGACTCGTGCTGCTGCTGCTGTGTTGTCGTCTGCTTCGCTGGAAACCGGGAGGCTCCGTTCTGCTGGTAGTAAAACCGCTGCTGAGCCATTGCAGCAGCATGTGCGGCTTCTGTCGTTGGTACCACGGCCGAACTGTCCAGTTTTTCGGATACCATACTGGCGAGGGTCGCGCTGTCTGTGCCGCTGCCGCTTGCGGACGGCCCTTTGCCGTCAGGCCCCCACTGCTCGCCAACATCTCCGCCGCCCGCAACATTGTTGCCCCGTCCGCCATCGAGCCGATTTAGGAATCCAAGTGTGTTGGCGGCGCTTTGTGCGTAACCGAAACCAGCCGCCTTCACGGGTATGGAGCCGCCGGCCTGCAGCGCGCGGCCGTACGAGGCGGCCTCGAGGACGCGCATGTGATGTCGTTCGCGCGACATGGCGACGGTCTCGTAGTGGCAGCTGGCCTCCATCTTGCGGTCGATGCAAGCCTTGCACGGCATGTTGCGGTCGCACTTTTGCTTTCGCCGGTGGCACTCGGCGCATGACACAACACGGCGCTTGCGTTTGCGGAGCGGCGGCGCGCCACCCGAGCCCCTTGTTGTGCCGTTTGCGGAAGCGTCGCCATTCTGTTCGTTAGTCACGGAGCCACCGCCCGACCCGCCGCCGGGCGAGCCATCACTCGGAGACATGGAGGCACCGGCCAGCTGGTCGTCGCTGTCGTCCAGGCTGGCCGTGCGCTTCTTGGAGCGTGCCGCCGTCATACTGGGCCACGCTCTTCTGGGGAGCAAATGCCGGCTTGAGCCGTTCCGGGAAGAATGCAAGGAGAGAGAGATTGTGTTGTCAGAATCAACAGATCGAGGAAAAGCAAGGCGCGGAAGCTTGCGGCGGATGGGCTGCAAAAAGCGGCAGCGCGCGCGGGAGTGCGGCCGTTGTGTAACTGACGTATGCTCCGGAGTTAGCAGCGTGTTGTCTGCTCTGGTTAGCACCGGTTGCTACGCCGAGAGATCAATGAGATCCGCAATTGGTCGTGAAATGCCGAGTATGTGATGACACTGAAAAGGGGGCAAAAGGCCTTTTGTTCAACGGCAATTGCAGAGCAAAACTTTGAGTAAAACGGAAGGTATGGGCATCCTGATCGCGGTTTCCCGTTCTTTGCCTTGGGTGCGGGGCGAATGCAGCGATACTTGAAAAAAAAGGTAGTAGTCGGAACGGCAACAGTAGGCCAAAACAGCCTGCCGTTTAACGGGGAATTAATAAGGCTTCAAAGCTCGGTTTGCCAGGTGCAAAGATGCACTCTCAGAGGAGAAAAAAGAAGAAAGGCAGGACGACGACAGGCGAATTCGCCAAACACTCCATCCAATGGCAGCCCCGCCCAAAAGGAAGGTGAGTGTTCATGTGTCGTACTCTGCGCAGCGCTTTCCTTTCTCGGGCGGTTTCTCCAAAATGGCTGACAAACTTTTTCTTCGCTCTTTCCCTCACTGGCGGGGGATGGCTCCTCCAAAACTTGGATGACGACAAGGGAAGTGGCGCTAAGGCATTCTTATCTCCGATCACCAGTGCACCTTTACAGGAAAGAGCAAACTCACAACCAAGACGGGCTAGCGAATCGCAAAAGAAGGAGCATGCCAGCCATGTGGACAAAGGCATACCACATTCGATAAACACAAACAACGTTATTTCTCCAACAATAAGTGCCTAGACATGGAAACGATCCAGAGATCATTGAAAGACTGTTTACGAGGCAACTGTAGCATACTCTGGACCGAGTGCCTCACCGCAGTTGAGTGCACATATGGTTAGGTGCGTTGGATTACGCTCAGTGGCAATGATATGCAAGTTACGACGTGCATCCTTTTTATTCCCTGGACGGTGTGCTCTCATTGTTCTGTGGCTACAAAACTTCCAAAAAAATCCCATGATACGCAGAAATAGTACTTGAAACAATAAAAAACAAAATGGTATAAAATGACGAGCATTCCAGTTTCCGCCTTCTCCTTGTACGTCGCAACTCTCAAACAAAAGCACTGACCGCTGTCTTTGCTCCTTGTATTTTTGCCGCATGTACCAATGTTCCAAACTCCCCCGTTCTCGCGTCGCCTCATTGCTGCACACGGGCCAGGTACGCCTTCCATGCTTTCCGCCTGTACCGCTCCGCCTCGGACGGCGGGTCCACCGCCGTGATGATGCCGCGGCCGACAATGACAATGTCGGCACCGCAGACGCCAATCAACCGTGCCGGCGTGTTGTACTGCTGGCCCATGCCGTCGCCAGGCAGCACACGGCCATTCGCATCGGTCTTCTCCTCAAACTCCTCGCCGGGCGGCGGCAGCTTGCAGCCGGGCGTCAGATGCACGAAAGCGTCGTCGGGCGCCGTGTTGAGCGTCTCCTGGGCAATAAAACCAGCGACAAACGTCTTGTGCGCGCGGGCGGCGTCAACGCAAGCCTGCGTGTACGCGGGTGTCATGAGGTTGCCTTTGGTGGACATCTGGGCCAACAGCAGGATGCCGCGGTCGAGGGGCGCCTCCTCGATCCCCGGATAGACGGCGCCAGCGCCGTCCTGGATGTAGCTGCTGCCGGCCGCGGCGCCCGACCGGCCGCTGCCGCTCGTGCTGTCGGCCGTGTTGGTGCCGTCCTGGTGGTAGGTGCCGCCAGACGCGCTGTGCACACGGCCGTCCGTGCTGTCGCGCGGTAGCCGGGGCGAGTCGACAGGCTCGAAACTCTGGGTCACGGTCGTGACGGACACTATGCTTCCTTTCCGGCCGTCGGTGTCGCGCGAGGGGGTGGGGAGACCGCCGGAATCCGCATTCGCGCGTGGGGCGGAGGAAAAGAGGTTCGAGGGGATCGACGTCGGCAACGAAGACGTCGGCGCGGCGCCCGACTGCGAAGGAAACTCGGACACGTGCTGCGTGTTTGGGGTGGCAACGCCGCTGGCGGTGCCGCTGCCGCTGTCGTCAAAGCTATCGAGGACGGGCGTGCCGACGGTGACCGACGTCTTGACCTCGTAGTGGACACGCTCGCGCCAGTGGGCAGCCGCATCAGCGAGGGCAGTCACGGCGGGCAGACCTGCGTCCATGTTGACCGTCACCAGGTGGGCCCAGTCAATGATGCGGGCCGTACCGGCGGTGTACTGCTGCTGCACGGTCTTGCCAATGTCGGCAAACTTGCGGTCCTCAAACAGGAGGAAGCCGTGCTTGCGGGCCAGGGCCGCCAGCTGGGCACCAGTGCCCGTCTGCGGGTTGTAGTCCCATCCGGTGACAAGGTCGTAGTGGGTTTTGAGGACGACGATGGAGGGGCCGACGCGGTCGGCGAGGAGCAGCAGTTCGCGGGCTGTCGACACGTCGGCGCTGAGACACAGATTCGAAGACTTGGCGACCATCAACCGGTAAAGATAGGCAGTCAGCGGGTGTGCAGCGGCTTCTGCCCGCTCTGCAAAAGGCGTCACAAAGGACGGATGGTGCTGTGTGGCGCCCATGGTGGGGGATTGGCGGCGGACGAGAGGATATGGTGGGAGGGATGGCGGATAGAGTACGATCAGAGGAAGAGCGCTGATAGGGCCCGTAGTGAGAGAGACAAAGGAGCGGCCACGAACTGAAAGTTCAATTGAGAGATGGACGATCGGTAGCCGGAAAATGAGAGTAAATAAAGGGATCAGAAAAGGAACGCAAAACCACAGCAAGAACGACCACGCTGCTCTCGTGAGGAAAGACGTTTGAATTTTTCGGGCAGAGGCCTCAACGGGAAAAAAACCGTCCACTAAAAAGTCGATAAACAGGGCTAAGAATTGAGTAGTTTGGCAATAGCGCTAAAAAAAATATCAGGCTGGGCCAGACGCTTGGGATGGGGTGAGATGGGGGGCAACACGACGGGATGAGGGTGCTATGGGGCAGTGCCGCCAAAAATATTGGGACCGCTTGCAGATATTGGGACTGGCCGAGTGGTATGGCAGGTACGTGGGACGGTGAAGGCGATTGCAGCTGACCTTTTGATCTCGTGATGTCGAACAGGCCCGGAGTCTAGATCAATGCAGCAGCGTTAATTCTATAGAACAAGCAGGAGCTGATGACAAGGGAAAGAGGAACGGACATGTCCGTCTTTTATGGAAGTGACGAGGGGGGCGCGAGGAATGAGCAACTGCCGTTGGCAGCGAGGGGAGGGGCTGTCAGGGGTGCATGAGAACGACCATGAAAGATGGCTGGTCAGGAAGGAGCCAGACATGACCAACGAGCAAATGGAAGGAGCCTTGAGTAGTCACAAATCACAAGCTGGTACGAGACATGTCAAAGAGCTCGATGAGGGACAGGGGGTCAATAAAGTATTTACGGACATCAGCCTTGGGTGAGAAAAACGCGGGACGAAACTCAGTGCTCGGTGGGACATGGAGTAGAGGAAACGAAGAAACGAACGAGGCGCCAGAGGTCGCGCCGCTATGGAACCGAGGACAGTGTGTAGGCGAAAGGGGAAAGAATCAGAAAAGCGACAACGTCTACACCCAGAGAACAACCAAGCGTGCGGAGTGAGGAGAAGGGGGTCCTTGCTGTTGGAGACGGAGCAAGGCAGGAAAAGGCCAAGCCGTCCCGACAGTGCGGTAGCATCGATGTGACCAAAGAGAGGACGGAGTGCCAGTCCAGATAAAAGAAGCTATATTTGCTAAGAGGATGAAAATGCTGGGCATGCAGTCAACAGACGGCGTCTTGTGAAGGCAAGCAAAGACGCACCACAAAGTTACGGAATCTAGCGTGGCCTGCAACGGGGTTCGGTCAAGGCATTCAGAGCTTTCAAGCGTCGTTAGAATTCAGGGTCCGATGATAGTTGGGCATCGATCACACCTCCTCCACCCCTCCACCCGGTCCTAGAAAGATCGACTGGTCCAGCAGCTGGGGCAGGCCGCTGGACAGCCATTCCCGTGGTCCTGGTACGAGTGGACGCAAAAAGGGGGCATCTGGACGTCTCGGCTAGGTGACAGGCCTCTGTCTAACTCGGCGACGATCAGGGGGACTGTGGCAACACTTTGTTGTTGAGACATCAGAGACAGCATTTGAATATGGAATGCGAGCGACATGTCGATATGGATGCCAGCTTGAACGCCGCGTTTTCGTCTGAGAGATGCGACATGTCGCTGGCTGTGACGGGCTTGAAGCCTTTCCATTCTTGTGATCGGAAGAGAGGAATTTGGTGCATTTGTTTGCACCTGCCATTTTGAGGCCAATTGCGAAAAGGCAAGAACGATCTCTTCTGTCAAATACAGTAATGGAAGCAGGAACAGCCGGGGAAACCTAAGAGTAAACCGTGACGACGCTGCTTACCCTCGGAGACTATCCAAACACTGATGCCAATGCTGACGTTGGTCCGGAGTCCAAATTGTGCCTGGGCAGAGTGAGCCCAAGTCGAAGACGCCGTGACGCGCAAACCTGAGCGCTAAAATGCTATTGCAGCACGTCACGTCCCTCCTTATCGCCGTTGGTGCGCCTTATCAATTGACAGGGTCAGCCATCGCGCCTGCCGCACCGCAGAGAAGTCAGAGGGAGGAAGACAATTGCCTCCTATTTTCTCTCTGCAATTCGTTATGGGGCCCCACTTTCCTGCCCTGCAGCTTAGCAACTAGCGCGACCGGCCGATCCGCTAAGCTGCTTCCTCAATCATCACCTGCAAAAATACGTCGTAATTACCAGCAAAGAATGCCCCCAAAGCAAAAATTCGCTGTTGCCTCCCCTTTCGCGTTCCGCCGTTTGCTCCTTCCACGCGGCAACACTCCGTGTTGGTT